GTTAGTGGAGTCACTGAAGGACAGGAGACACCGCCTGCTGTATATGGTTAGTGGAGTCACTGAAGGACAGGAGACACCGCCTGCTGTATATGGTTAGTGGAGTCACTGAAGGGCAGGAGACACCACCTGCTTTATATGGTTAGTGGAGTCACTGAAGGGCAGGAGACACCGCCTGCTTTATATGGTTAGTGGAGTCACTGAAGGGCAGGAGACACCGCCTGCTGTATATGGTTAGTGGAGTCACTGAAGGGCAGGAGACTCCACCTGCTGTATATGGTTAGTGGAGTCACTGAAGGGCAGGAGACACCACCTGCTTTATATGGTTAGTGGAGTCACTGAAGGGCAGGAGACACCGCCTGCTTTATATGGTTAGTGGAGTCACTGAAGGGCAGGAGACACCACCTGCTGTATATGGTTAGTGGAGTCACTGAAGGGCAGGAGACACCGCCTGCTGTATATGGTTAGTGGAGTCACTGAAGAGCAGGAGACACCACCTGCTGTATATGGTTAGTGGAGTCACTGAAGAGCAGGAGACACCACCTGCTGTATATGGTTAGTGGAGTCACTGAAGGACAGGAGACACCGCCTGCTGTATATGGTTAGTGGAGTCACTGAAGGGCAGGAGACACCGCCTGCTGTATATGGTTAGTGGAGTCACTGAAGGGCAGGAGACACCGCCTGCTGTATATGGTTAGTGGAGTCACTGAAGGGCAGGAGACACCGCCTGCTTTATATGGTTAGTGGAGTCACTGAAGGGCAGGAGACACCGCCTGCTGTATATGGTTAGTGGAGTCACTGAAGGGCAGGAGACACCACCTGCTTTATATGGTTAGTGGAGTCACTGAAGGGCAGGAGACACCGCCTGCTTTATATGTTTAGTGGAGTCACTGAAGGGCAGGAGACACCACCTGCTTTATATGGTTAGTGGAGTCACTGAAGGGCAGGAGACACCGCCTGCTGTATATGGTTAGTGGAGTCACTGAAGGGCAGGAGACACCGCCTGCTTTATATGGTTAGTGGAGTCACTGAAGGGCAGGAGACACCGCCTGCTGTATATGGTTAGTGGAGTCACTGAACGGCAGGAGACACCACCTGCTTTATATGGTTAGTGGAGTCACTGAAGGACAGGAGACACCACCTGCTGTATATGGTTAGTGGAGTCACTGAAGGGCAGGAGACACCACCTGCTTTATATGGTTAGTGGAGTCACTGAAGGGCAGGAGACACCGCCTGCTTTATATGGTTAGTGGAGTCACTGAACAGCAGGAGTCACTTTTCTAACCAGTCGACCCCGGGTTGATCACTGTCATAGGAAACAACATGTGAAGATGTGCCCTAGCACTGAACAGCTGATTTTCAACTAAGCAACTCATCAAGCTTTGATCTGAATCAGCTGTGTAGTGCTAGGGCACAACCCAAAACATCAAGCTTTGATGATAGGGCACAACCCAAAAGGTGCACCCAGGGGGGCCCAGGACCGAGTTTGGGAAACCCTGGTCTATCAGACCTGCGATTAGAGGGACACACACACAATAATACGTTCCCCCTCCTTTGTTCCTTCCCTCGTAGAAAAAGGTGAACCCGGAGCTGCAGGTGGAGGTGAAGCCCTCTATCAGAGCCAGGAAGATCCAGGAAGAGAAGATGAGGAAACAGATGCAGAAGGAGGAGTACTGGAGGAGGAGAGAGGAGGAGGAGAGATGGAGGATGGAGATGAGGTACGGAGAGATGGGGTGGGTCACACACTCTCTCTCTCTCACCCAGTATACTAATAACCACCAACTCTGTCTCTCTAGCTAATGCCAATTGAGTGAATACTTCCCAAAAATGAACGTCTGTCTCTCTGCTTGTCTCGGTCTCTCTGTGTGTCTCGGTCTGCGTCTGTCCTCTCTCTCTCTCTCTATCTCTCTCTGCGTCTCTGTCTCTAGGCGTTATGAGGAGGACATGTACTGGCGTCGTATGGAGGAGGACCACCACTGGGACGAGAGACGTGGGGGACCCAGGATGCCAGGGGATGGGCCTTACCTCCAGGGGCCACCTGGACCTCCTGGACTACTGGGGGTCCGACCTGGCATGCCCATCCCTCAACCACAGGGACCTGTAGTAAGATGCCTGTTTCCTGTTTCTTTCTCACTTACTGACTGGACACATCTGCAAAGCAGCTGCACTGCACAAATTAACCAATTGAATCGTATACCATATTTCCACTCAAATCAACGGTTTCGTAAAATTGTGCTGGTTAAGTGGTGGAAACCAAACTTTTCAAACATACTATAGCTATTGACTTAAATTACATTACATTTTACATGTACATCATTTAGCAGACGCTCTTATCCAGAGCGACTAACATTACTATAAGCACAGTGATTATATGGTAAGCACCATGGATTAGAAATTTTCAATCCAGTTTAAAAAATCATTTTGCACCCTCTTCCCCCCCCCCCCCACTGCTGTGGCATTGAGACATTTCGTTGGGCTTTACCTCACAGCCTCCCCGTCGGCCGGACTCGTCAGACGACCGCTACGTGATGACGAAGCACGCAGCCATCTACCCCTCTGAGGACGAGCTGCAGACCATCCAGAAGATCGTCTCCATCACAGAGAGAGCCCTCAAACTGGTCTCAGACATCATCATCGACCAGGACAAGACCAAGGAGACTACTGGGGAGGAGAAGGATGCAAAAGAGGTCTCCAAGACTCCCCAAGACCGGTGAGGAGAGTGGGGATGGATGGAAGGTTGAGTGGGATGGATGGATGGAAGGTTGAGTGGGGATGGATGGATGGAAGGTTGAGTGGGGATGGATGGATGGAAGGTTGAGTGGGGATGGATGGATGGAAGGTTGAGTGGGGAGGGATGGATGGAAGGTTGAGTGGGGAGGATGCTGGCGTTTGCGTGGGGCTGCTGGCTGGCCAGGTTTGGGCGGCTGATGCCGCGGTTGGGGCTGGCTGGATGAGAGGTTGGTTGGGCGGGCTGGTGAGGCCGGTTGCGTGGGCTGGCTGGTGGCCGGTTGCGTGGGGCGGGCTGGCTGGCCGGCCGGTTGCGTGGGCTGGCTGGCCGGTTGCGTGGGGCTGTGCTGGCCGGCCGGTTGCGTGGGGCGGGCTGGCCGGCCGGTTGCAGTTGGGGCTGGCTGGCCGGCCGTTTGCTGTGGGAGTGGCTGGCTGGCCGGTTTGCGTGGGGCGGGCTGGCTGGCCGGTTGCGTGGGGCTGGCTGGCTGGCCGGTTGCGTGGGGCTGGCTGGCCGGCCGGTTGCTGGGGCTGGCTGGCGGCCGGTTGCGTGGGGCGGGCTGGCCGGCCGGTTGCTTGGGCTGGCCGGCCGGTTGGTGGGAGGCTGGCTGGCTGGTTGCGTGGGGCGGGTTGGCTGGCCGGTTGCGTGGGGCTGGCTGGCCTGCCGGTTGGGTGTGGGGCTGGCTGGCCGGCCGGTTGCGTGGGCTGGCTGGCCGGTTGCGTGGGGCTGGCTGGTCCGGCCGTTGCGTGGGGCTGGCTGGCTGGCCGGTTTGCGTGGGGCTGGCTGGCTGGCCGGTTGCGTGGGGCTGGTGGCTGGCCGGTTTGCGTGGGCTGGCTGCTGGCCGGTTTGCGTGGGGCTGGCTGGCCGGCCGGTTTGCGTGGGGCTGGCTGGCTGGCCGGTTGCGTGGGGCTGGCTGGCCGGCCGGTTTGCGTGGGCTGGCTGGCCGGCCGGTTTGCGTGGGGCTTGGCTGGCCGCCGGTTGCGTTGGGCTGGCTGGCCGGCCGGTTGCGTTGGGGCTGGCTGGCCGGCCGGTTTGCGTGGGGCTGGCTGCCGGCCGGTTGCGTGGGGCTGGCTGCCGGCCGGTTTGCGTGGGCTGGCTGGCTGCCGGTTGCGTGGTGGCTGGCTGGCTGCCGGTTGGTGGGTCTGGCTGGCTGGCCGGTTGCGTGGGCTGGCTGGCTGTCCGGTTGCGTGGGGCTGGCTGGATCCGGTTTGCGTGGGGCTGGCTGGCTGGCCGGTTTGCGTGGGTCGGCTCTGGCCTGGCCGTTGCGTGGGCGGCTTGGCTGGCCGGTTGCGTGGGCGGGCTGGCCGGCCGGTTGCGTGGGGCTGGCTGGCCGGCCGGTTGCGTGGGGCTGGCTGGCCTGGCCGGTTTGCGTGGGGCGGGCTGGCTGGCCGGTTTGCGTGGGGCTGGGCTGGCTGGCCGGTTGCGTGGGGCGGGTCTGGCTTGCCGGTTGCGTGGGCTTTGCTGGCCGGCCGGTTGCGTTGGGCTGGCTGGCCGGCCGGTTGCTTGGGGCTGCTGGCCTGGCCGGTTTCGTTGGGCTGGCTGTGCCGGTTGCGTTTGGTGCTGGCTGGCTGGCCGGTTGCGTGGGGCTGGCTGGCCGGCCGTTGCTGGGGCTGGCTTGCCTGGCCGGTTGCTGGGGCTGGCTGGCTGGCCGTTGCGTGGGCTGGCTGGCTGGCCGGTTTGCTTGGGGCTGGCTGGCTGGCCGGTTGCGTGGGGCTGGCTGGCTGGCTGCCGGTTGCGTGGGGTTGGCTGGCTGGCCGGTTGCGTGGGGGCTGGCTGGCTGGCCGGTTTGCGTGGGTCGGGATGGCTGGCCGGTTGCTTGGGGCCTGGCTAGGAAGGCACGGTTGGGGGACCTCCCCCCTGAACGTTTTCTCCTGCCTCGCTCTTAACGGGTGATGCGGGGGGGGTGCGGGCTAAGGCGCTGCTCCGTGGAGACATAATGTTAACTTGTCCTGCTCTGCTCAGAGAAACCCACCAGAATCTGCTAAGCCGCATCGTGGAGCAATCTTCCACGCAGCTGACGGTACCCTCCCCACGCCCCAACACTACGCCCCCCCCCACACTACGCCCCAGCACTACCCCCCCAACACACGCCCCCCCCCCAACAAGGCACTACCCCCCCACACTATTACCCCCGCCCCCCCCCCCAACACTACGCCCCACCCTACCCCCCCCAACACTACTCCCCCCCCCCCAACACAGCACTCACCCCCCCCAACACTACGCCCCCAACCCCCCCAACACTTACCCTCGCTCTCTCCATTCTTCCCATCCCCTCCAGCTGGTGACCCCAGAGAAGTACGAGGTGAAGGGCTCCATCCAGGACTCTTCCATCATCCTGATGTCTGGAGCCGACCCCAAAATGACAGTCACCATCACCCTGACCTCCCCCGTCATCCGAGAGGAGGAGACCCCTGCCACACCCCCGCCACGGGACGGAGGTTGGAAAGACATCGCCCCCCCCCCCTCTATCCCCTCTACCCCCTTCCTTCCGTTTCGCTCTCTGCCACCCAGCTATTGGTGCATTAGTTTGTTCAGGGTACAGGGTGGGTGGAGTTAGCACATTTTGGGGCGATTTCAAAAGTCCTGTTTCTCCAATGGTCCTAAAGTGACATCTCCATTCACCCAGCACCTGAATGAATGTACCCTGTAAGATCAATTTCTATCTGAAGAGACCTACCCTGGTGGCACTTTGAAGAGGACTTTCTAGATTGTTCTGAGAGAAGTCTAGCTGTATGCCCCGGGCACTAAGTTTAGATTTGACCTGTTGGGCATCCAAGTCTCTCACTCAGTTTTGTCATTTTATAGACGCTAGTTATCGTTTCAACTTCAACCAATGAAGTGCTTGAGCTCTGTCATGACATGAGATGCTGGATTGGTCATCATAAAACAGTGCTCTTGCTTAGTGTGCCTTCAAAAGCCTTAGGATAGGAATTATGTTTCTACTAGGTCCGACAGTCAGTGATTTAAACTTTGGGATTAGAGAAGTATTGAATAACCAATATTCTGTAGTTTTAATTCACAGAATATCATAAACAATGTAAAAAAGGGAAATATATAAAGAACTAACGTTTTGGGGAACCATTCAAATTGTCCAAGAGACCTGTTTTGAAGGCAGAGAAGCTCATTTTGATTATTATTTTTTTGGTTCATGTATCTTTAAAACCCGTGCCCTGAGAACAACCTGAATGATATTACCGAAGGCTCATCATTGGAAAAAACATTTCTAGAAACTTTACTTTCTAGTCATGGTTAGAGCACTTCCTGGTGAAGTCTGACGGTTCCTCGTGCCAGCAGCGTAGCGCTAACTCTCTTATCTGGAACTCCCCTTCCGTGCGTCTTGTAAAGCTGTCCCCCTACAAACAAAGCATGGACGGTGTTTGCATTTTCAGTCTAGTTTTTAGTTCCCAGGTAAGATTCATTGTTTTGTTTCCTGTGTTCCAGGGGGTTTGTTTCACTGTCACACCACTGGGATAAACCCTCCAACACCGGGGTCAATCGTTAGCTCTCTTAGCTCAGAACTACACACATCAGAGGAACGTTATTCTCTACAGATACCAAAAATAAATGAAAGACCCATTGGGGAAGGGAAGCGGTGAGGGCACTGAATCCTAACTTAAGAAACGTGCACACAACTCAGAGCTCTGCACAAATCGTGCGTAGATCGATGTCACCGGGGAGATTTGCAGCGGAAGTTTGAGTTGAGCGGGCGTTTTGTCAGGTTTAGGATTTGGCCAAATGAAAACAGCAGAAAGAACAGGGTTCCAGAACACACACACATACGGTTCTAGAACACTGGCAAGCAGTTCTAGAACACAGACGGTTCTAGAACACTGAGAGAAATGGGTTCACACACCCCCCCACAGGAAACAAATCTTACTTCTGGTCGTGAGGAGTTGTTCTGTCCTCACATGCTCCCTGAGTGGACTGGTGTCCCCCCTCCACACAAAAGCCTGATCTTGGCTACATTTCCCTTTTTGTAGTTGATCATGCTGTTAACAAAACAATACAATCCAGATATGACGTGAAGCCCTTTTGATCACGTGATCCATTCTCTGCATTAGTTGACAATGGAGGGGTGAGAGTGAGTGTTGCCAAGCTCCTGTTTCTCTATCTAGCACGTCTCTTAGTTATGTTTTGTTGTGCCAATTTCTTTCACCCTATTCCAGAAGTGTGTACTTGGATTTGAAAGCATAGGATTGGTGTTGCCCAGAGAGGGTCTCCATCTACCATTTGTTAAATCCAGTTTCATAAAGTGGATTTGAAAGCATAGGATTGGTGTTGCCCAGAGAGGGTGTCCATCTACCATTTGTTAAATCCAGTTTCATAAAGTGGATTTGAAAGGATTGGTGTTTGCCCAGAGAGGGTCTCCATCTACCATTTGTTAAATCCAGTTTCATAAAGTGGATTTGAAAGCATAGGATTGGTGTTGCCCAGAGAGGGTGTCCATCTACCATTTGTTAAATCCAGTTTCAGAAAGTGCGCAAGTACACACTTCAGAATAAAGGTGCAAAATGGGGACGCTGTGTGGCCAGCCTGCAGTAGACTTCAGTAGGTCAGGGATGAAGACTTTGGCAGACTGTGGTTGGACCGAAGTACAGCAGAGCGGTGTACCGTTAGTGTGATTATCTGTTTGTTGGTTTCATGCCAACCTACTGACTTCAGCCAGCCATGCAGTGATGTCCAATCTAACCCTTCTTTTTGCTGCTGGGAGCTTCCATGTTTCTAGTTTTTTCTGCTGCCACATAATTTGTAGCTTTCCTACCAGTCCAGTCCAAAGCTCTCTGTTCTTTCATTTGTTTTATTTTTGAAAAATACATCTCCAGTGTCTGGGAGAGGGTTCAACCCCCCCCCCCCCCCCAGCCCTCCGGAAGGATTTTTGACCAAGGTTTTCCCCCACCACCCAAACACTTTGCCACACCTATCATTGCCACTGTTAGAAGCAGCTCAGTTCACACTCCAAGTTATGACAGGACTTAGGACTTCTCTCTCCTTTTTGTTTCCGTTATCAGTTACCACGACCGATACTAATACACCACGACCCATACTAATACACCACGACCCATACTAATACCTCACGACCCATACTAATACACCACGACCCATACTAATATACCACGACCGATACTAATACACCACGACCCATACTAATATACCACGACCCATACTAATACACCACGACCCATACTAATACCTCACGACCCATACTAATACACCACGACCCATACTAATATACCACGACCCATACTAATACACCACGACCCATACTAATACACCACGACCCATACTAATACACCACGACCCATACTAATATACCACGACCCATACTAATACACCACGACCCATACTAATACACCACGACCCATACTAATACACCACGACCCATACTAATACACCACGACCCATACTAATACACCACGACCCATACTAATATACCACGACCCATACTAATACACCACGACCGATACTAACACACCACGACCCATACTAATATACCACGACCCATACTAATACACCACGACCGATACTAATACACCACAACCCATACTAATACACCACGACCCATACTAATACACCACGACCCATACTAATACACCACGACCCATACTAATATACCACGACCCATACTAATACACCACGACCCATACTAATATACCACGACCCATACTAATACACCACGACCCATACTAATACACCACGACCCATACTAATATATAACGACCCATACTAATACACCACGACCCATACTAATACACCACGACCCATACTAATACACCACGACCCATACTAATATACCACGACCCATACTAATACACCACAACCCATACTAATACACCACGACCCATACTAATACACCACGACCCATACTAATACACCACGACCCATACTAATATACCACGACCCATACTATTGACCCATTGGAATCCCCCTAGAATATCCGCCAAGTATCATCTCAGCAGATGAGATTAAGACTGAAACTGACAAATGATTGGCGTAACATTGCTTTTCTTAGACAAGCTAACGTCTCAGCTTTTGAGATGTAAACTTCTCTGTGAGATCTTACGTTTCAGCACATGCTAACAATAGGCCTACATACAGTTCAGTTATTTGACTATATGATCAAACGAATTGCTGTTGGCACCAGCCAATGTTAGCGACTAGGTGAGCCTTTGCTCAAAACCTAAGCAAGAGTTCCCATCACTCAATCCTGCTTCTAATATCTCAAGGTTTGGTTAGCATTTTACGCCAGTCCCGTAATTGACGTTCCCTTTACCCAACAAATCACACCAACGTGAACCTAACATTGCATCCGTGACACACTACGTCTCCAAGCACTTGTCATTTCGATGTCAGGTTGGGCATTGGTTTATTTGGCAGAAACACCAATCAGATAAGACTTTAGCTAGTTCACTTCCTGGTTCCTTACAGAAACCCCATCTTGGTATGTGTGGCAATGTGTTTGTATTTTCTTGTTAATGAGTCTTGCTCTACCTGGTCAAACACCCGTTCCTCCTCCTCCTCCTCCTCCTCCTCAACACCTCAACCCAACCAACCAACCGGTCGACCACCATTTTTTTGACAATTCGACTCATCCATTTGTAGATGTAACCGGGGGCTTGGTGCGAGACCCGGCGGACGTCTTGGACAGGCTAAAATGCCTTGACGCTCTAGCGGATCTCCGCCACGCTAAGTGGTTCCAGGTTCGGACACATCCTTTTACTTTCTTATTGTAGCCTTATGAGATGCATTTTTTTTTTATTCCTTTGTTTGAATTTTGTTTTAATGAAGGAATTAATAATGAATTTAACACCCCCCCCCCCCCCCCAAAAACAAAAACACAGTAATACCTGATATAATTAAACTGTTGTTTTAAAAAGATACAAAAATTCAATGATGCCACACATGTAATGATAATGTTTTAACCAGATTTGAATATCCAATCTTTATTTCTGATATTTATTGTTGAACTTTAGAATGGTAATGATTTATAATTTTCTGGTCCAAAAAAAAAAAAAAACTGGCATCCTTGTATTCCTTTTTTTTCCTTTGGCTCCATACTAGACTATATTGTCTGTGTTAAAACATGATTCCATAAGGCTGCAGAGATATCTTTGCATAAGATCCGATAAGAGCTTCCATGTTGAGCATTAGTATCTTGTGATTTGTATTTATTTTAACAGAGGAACAGGGATTGAGAGAAACGGGACATCTGATTTTTTTATTTTTAGTTTCACTGTGTCGCTGCTATGGCAGAAAAAGCAAACGCACAGGCAAAGCAGATTGCCTCCTCTCTCCCAGTCCCTGACCTTCATCTTCTTTACAAACACAAACTCTGTACAACTGCCTGACTGTCTGTGAAACACTTGATCAACCTGAGAAGTCAGGGTTTATAAGATGACAAGGAAATTGTTTCATCTTGCAAACTGTGAGCTCTCCTTTTTTACTAATGTTACGACGAGGTGAAATACTCCTGGAAATGGCAGCTGATTCCAACCAATTACGGCCAATTAATTAATTGAGGCTTCAATCAACCAATCACAAGCTTCCATTGTGTTCAGTAGTGTTTGGCCATCAATGACAGACGTGTTGTAAAATGTAGTGTGCACTATAATAATCCATGTTGTCCTCTCCCGTCTGTTATCTCTAAACCAAACGTGTTATTGCTCCACAAGGCTAGGGCCAACGGACTCCAATCCTGTGTGATTGTTATTCGTATCCTGCGTGACCTCTGTCAGAGGGTTCCCACGTGGTCCGCCTTCCCCAGCTGGGTGAGTTCATCGCCAGGCTAACGAGTCGACAACCATCTCATGAATGTTTTATATGTTGTTAGAAAAGTATTGGACCTTAATTGGCCGGTTTCATGGACACAGATGAAGTCTAGTCCTGGACTAAAAAACAAAAATAATCTCCATTTAAGAATTGTTCCTAGTCCCGGCATAATCTGTGTCTGGGGAAACCGCCCCTATAGGTACATTAAAGGGATAGTTCAGGATGTTATCTACTTCCCCAGAGTCGGATGAACTTGTGGATACCATTTTTATGTCTCTGCGTTCAGTTTGAAGGAAGATTCTAGCGTTAGTGCAATTGCTAACTAACGTTAGCGCAATGACTGGAAGTCTTTGGGAACAGCTAGCATGTTCGCTGTTCCTGTGGACTTTGTCTTTGCGCTAACGCTAGTTAGCATTGGCTCGCGAACCTACCTCTTAACTTCTTTGATACTGGACGCAGAGACATAGAAATGGTATCCACCAGTTCATCTGCCTCTGGGGAAGTAGATAACATCCTGAACTATCCCTTTAAGAACAGCAGATGGTATCCACCAGTTCATCTGCCTCTGGGGAAGTAGATAACATCCTGAACTATCCCTTTAAGAACAGCAGATGGTATCCACCAGTTCATCTGCCTCTGGGGAAGTAGATAACATCCTGAACTGTCCCTTTAAGAACAGCAGATGTGTTAACTCGGGGCTAACACACCGGCTGCAGCTTCACTCAATGACGAGTTTAAACGTCTCCATCCCCTCTCCTCCCTCTCCTCCCTCTCCTCCCCATCTCCTCTCCCTCTCCTCCCTCTCCTCCCCCTCCATCTCATCTCCCTCTCCTCCCCATCTCCTCTCCCTCTCCTCCCTCTCCTCCCCCTCCATCTCCTCTCCCTCTCCTCCCCCTCCATCTCATCTCCCTCTCCTCCCTCTCCCTCTCCTCCCCCTCCTCCTCCATCCCCCCTCCTCCTCCATCCCCGCTCCCCCCTCCTCCATTCCCCTCCTCCATCCCCCCTCCTCCTCCATCCCCGCTCCCCCTCCTCCATTCCCCTCCTCCATCCCCCCTCCTCCTCCATCCCCGCTCCCCCTCCTCCATTCCCCTCCTCCATCCCTCCTCCTCCTCCATCCCCGCTCCCCCCTCCTCCATTCCCCTCCTCCATCCCCCCTCCTCCTCCATCCCCCTCCCCCTCCTCCATTCCCCTCCTCCATCCCCCCTCCTCCTCCATCCCCCGCTCCCCCTCCTCCATTCCCCTCCTCCATCCCCCCTCCTCCTCCATCCCCCCTCTCCACTCCTCTCCCCCCCCTCCTCCCCCTCCTCCATCCCCTCTCCTCCATCCCCCCTCCTCCATCCCCCCTCTCCTCCCCTCCCCCCTCCTCCCCCTTGTTCTCCAGGCCATGGAGCTGCTGGTGGAGAAGGCCATCAGCAGTGCCTCTGGCCCCCTGAGTCCAGGCGATGCACTGCGACGAGTCTTTGAATGTATTTCCTCCGGGATCCTGCTCCCCGGTAAGTCTAACCTATTTCACTATTTACTATTATAGCAGACTATTTCGCCTATCATAATGGGAGACTATTTTTGACGATCGTGACAGATTTTCACGTAGTTGTGAATGAATGAATCTGGGGTTAATGGCGTTTGGGCATTAGCAGAATGCTGATTGGTGTATTTGGTCGCTGGGGTTAATGGCGTGTGGGCATTAGCAGAATGCTGATTGGTGTATTTGCCCGCCAGGTGGTCCGGGGTTGGTGGACCCGTGTGAGAAGAACCCCACTGATACCCTGACAACCATGAAGGAGCAGCACAGGGAGGACATCACCTCAAGTGCCCAGGTACTGACAGACACATGTATAGAATATAAACACAATGTATTATATATATATATATATATATATATATATATATATATATATATACTGAACAAAAATATAAATGCAACATGTAAAGTGTTGGTCCCATGTTTCATGAGCTGAAATAAAAGATCCCAGAAATACATACAAAAAGCTTATTTCTCTAACATTTTGTGCACACATTTGTTTACATCCCTGTTAGTGAGCATTTCTCCTTTGCCAAGATAATCCATCCACCTGACAGGTGTGGCATACCGAGAAGCTGATTAAACGGCATGATCATTACACAGGTGCACCTTGTGCCTGGGGACAATAAAAGGCCACTCTAAAATGTGCAGTTTTGTCACAAAACACAATGCCACAGATGTCTCAAGTTTTGAGGGAGCGTGCCACTGCCATGCTGACTGCAGGAATGTCCACCAGAGCTGTTGCCAGAGAATTGAATGTTCATTTCTTGTTCAAGAGAATTGTGCTCTTCACGGATTAATCCCAGTTTCAACTGTACCAGGCAGATGGCGTCGTGTGGGCAAGCGGTTTGCTGATGTCAACGTTGTGAACAGAGTGCCCCATTATGGCGGTGGGGTTATGGTATGGGCAGGCATAAGCTACGGACAACGAACACAATTGCATTTTATCGATGGCAATTTGAATGCACAGAGATACTGTGACGAGATCCTGAGGCCCATTGTCGTGCCATTCATCTGCCGCCATCACCTCATGTTTCAGCATTATAATGCACGGCCCCATGTCGCAAGGATCTGTACACAATTCCTGGAAGCTGAAAATGTCCCAGTTTTTCCATGGCCTGCATACTCCCCAGACGTCATCCATTGAGCATGTTTGGGATGCTCTGGATCGACATGTACCACAGCGTGTTCCAGTTCCCGCCAATATCCAGCAACTTCGCACGGCCATTGAAGAGGAGTGGGACCACATTCCACAGGCCACAATCAACAGCCTGATCAACTCAATGCGAAGGAGATGTGTCGTTCTGCATGAGGCAAATGGTGGCCACACCAGATACTGACTGTTTCTCTGATCCACACCCCTACCGTTTCTTTTTTTTTTTTAAGGCATCTGTGACCAACAGTCGTGAACTCCATAGATTAGAGCCTAATGAATTTATTTCAATTGACTGATTTCCTTATATGAACTGTAACTCAGTAAAATCTTTGAAATTGTTGCATTTATATTTTTGTTCAGTGTAGTAATAGCCTAAGAACAGATCCTTGAGGTACACCATAATTATAAGGTACTGGCCAAACATAAATAGTAAAGTTTTAATATATGATTATAGATGTAAGACATTGACCACCATACCTTTTTATATAAATTGCCAGATCATTGAGGTACTGTATGTAGTTAACGCTCCTTGTCTGTCCAGTTCGCTCTGCGGCTGCTAGCGTTCCGTCAGGTGCACAAGGTGCTGGGTATGGACCCACTGCCCCAGATGAACCCCCGCTTCAACATCCGCAACAACCGTAAGCGTCGCCGTGAGAACAGCGACGGGACGGACGGATTCGAGGGCGAAGGGAAGAAGGACAAGAAGGATTTGGACAGTAGTTACTAGGATCTGTCCACCCCCCTCCACCCAGTTGGACAGTAGTTACTAGGACCTGTCCCCCCCTCCACCCCTCCACCCAGTTGGACAGTAGTTACTAGGTCCTGTCCCCCCCTCCACCCCTCCACCCAGTTGGACAGTAGTTACTAGGACCTGTCCCCCCCCCTCCACCCAGTTGGACAGTAGTTACTAGGTCCTGTCCCCCCCTCCACCCAGTTGGACAGTAGTTACTAGGTCCTGTCCCCCCCCTTCACCCCTCCACCCAGTTGGACAGTAGTTACTAGGATCTGTCCACCCCTCCACCCAGTTGGACAGTAGTTACTAGGTCCTGTCCCCCCCCCCTCCACCCCTCCACCCAGTTGGACAGTAGTTACTAGGACCTGTCCCCCCCCTCCACCCAGTTGGACAGTAGTTACTAGGACCTGTCCCCCCCTCCACCCAGTTGGACAGTAGTTACTAGGACCTGTCCCCCCCTCCACCCAGTTGGACAGTAGTTACTAGGTCCTGTCCCCCCCCCTCCACCCAGTTGGACAGTAGTTACTAGGATCTGTCCCCCCCCCCCTCCACCCCTCCACCCAGTTGGACAGTAGTTACTAGGACCTGTCCCCCCCCCTCCACCCAGTTGGACAGTAGTTACTAGGTCCTGTCCCCCCCCCCTCCACCCAGTTGGACAGTAGTTACTAGGTCCTCTCCCCCCCCTCCACCCAGTTGGACAGTAGTTACTAGGACCTGTCCCCCCCCTCCACCCAGTTGGACAGTAGTTACTAGGTCCTGTCCCCCCCCTCCACCCAGTTGGACAGTAGTTACTAGGACCTGTCCCCCCCCCTCCACCCAGTTGGACAGTAGTTACTAGGTCCTGTCCCCCCCCTCCACCCAGTTGGACAGTAGTTACTAGGTCCTGTCCCCCCCTCCACCCAGTTGGACAGTAGTTACTAGGTCCTGCCCCCCCCCCTCCACCCCTCCACCCAGTTGGACAGTAGTTACTAGGTCCTGCCCCCCCCCCTCCACCCCTCCACCCAGTTGGACAGTAGTTACTAGGACCTGTCCCCCCCCTCCACCCAGTTGGACAGTAGTTACTAGGACCTGTCCCCCCCCCTCCACCCAGTTGGACAGTAGTTACTAGGTCCTGCCCCCCCCCCCCTCCACCCCTCCACCCAGTTGGACAGTAGTTACTAGGTCCTGCCCCCCCCCCCTCCACCCCTCCACCCAGTTGGACAGTAGTTACTAGGTCCTGTCCCCCCCTCCACCCAGTTGGACAGTAGTTACTAGGACCTGTCCCCCCCCCTCCACCCAGTTGGACAGTAGTTACTAGGTCCTGTCCCCCCCCTCCACCCAGTTTGACAGTAGTTACTAGGACCTGTCCCCCCCCTCCACCCAGTTGGACAGTAGTTACTAGGTCCTGTCCCCCCCCCTCCACCCAGTTGGACAGTAGTTACTAGGACCTGTCCCCCCCCTCCACCCAGTTGGACAGTAGTTACTAGGTCCTGTCCCCCCCCCTCCACCCAGTTGGACAGTAGTTACTAGGTCCTCTCCCCCCCCTCCACCCAGTTGGACAGTAGTTACTAGGTCCTGCCCCCCCCCCCTCCACCCCTCCACCCAGTTGGACAGTAGTTACTAGGACCTGTCCCCCCCTCCACCCAGTTGGACAGTAGTTACTAGGACCTGTCCCCCCCTCCACCCCTCCACCCAGTTGGACAGTAGTTACTAGGACCTGTCCCCCCCCTCCACCCAGTTGGACAGTAGTTACTAGGTCCTGTCCCCCCCCCTCCACCCAGTTGGACAGTAGTTACTAGGTCCTGTCCCCCCCCTCCACCCAGTTGGACAGTAGTTACTAGGTCCTGTCCCCCCCCTCCACCCAGTTGGACAGTAGTTACTAGGTCCTGTCCCCCCCCTCCACCCAGTTGGACAGTAGTTACTAGGACCTGTCCCCCCCCTCCACCCCTCCACCCAGTTGGACAGTAGTTACTAGGACCTGTCCCCCCCCCTCCACCCAGTTGGACAGTAGTTACTAGGTCCTGTCCCCCCCCCCCTCCACCCAGTTGGACAGTAGTTACTAGGACCTGTCCCCCCCTCCACCCAGTTGGACAGTAGTTACTAGGTCCTGTCCCCCCCCCCCCTCCACCCCTCCACCCAGTTGGACAGTAGTTACTAGGTCCTGTCCCCCCCTCCACCCCTCCACCCAGTTGGACAGTAGTTACTAGGACCTGTCCCCCCCTCCACCCAGTTGGACAGTAGTTACTAGGACCTGTCCCCCCCCTCCACCCAGTTGGACAGTAGTTACTAGGATCTGTCCCCCCCCCCCCTCCACCCCCTCCACCCAGTTGGACAGTAGTTACTAGGACCTGTCCCCCCCCCTCCACCCAGTTGGACAGTAGTTACTAGGACCTGTCCCCCCCCTCCACCCAGTTGGACAGTAGTTACTAGGATCTGTCCCCCCCCCCCCTCCACCCCTCCACCCAGTTGGACAGTAGTTACTAGGACCTGTCCCCCCCCCTCCACCCAGTTGGACAGTAGTTACTAGGACCTGTCCCCCCCCTCCACCCAGTTGGACAGTAGTTACTAGGATCTGTCCCCCCCCCCCCCTCCACCCCTCCACCCAGTTGGACAGTAGTTACTAGGACCTGTCCCCCCCTCCACCCAGTTGGACAGTAGTTACTAGGTCCTGTCCCCCCCTCCACCCAGTTGGACAGTAGTTACTAGGACCTGTCCCCCCCCCTCCACCCAGTTGGACAGTAGTTACTAGGACCTGTCCCCCCCTCCACCCAGTTGGACAGTAGTTACTAGGTCCTGTCCCCCCCTCCACCCAGTTGGACAGTAGTTACTAGGACCTGTCCCCCCCTCCACCCAGTTGGACAGTAGTTACTAGGTCCTGTCCCCCCCCTCCACCCCTCCACCCAGTTGGACAGTAGTTACTAGGTCCTGTCCCCCCCTCCACCCAGTTGGACAGTAGTTACTAGGTCCTGTCCCCCCTCCACCCAGTTGGACAGTAGTTACTAGGACCTGTCCCCCCCCCTCCACCCAGTTGGACAGTAGTTACTAGGTCCTGTCCCCCCCTCCACCCAGTTGGACAGTAGTTACTAGGTCCTGTCCCCCCCTCCACCCAGTTGGACAGTAGTTACTAGGACCTGTCCCCCCCCTCCACCCAGTTGGACAGTAGTTACTAGGACCTGTCCCCCCCTCCACCCAGTTGGACTGTAGTTACTAGGATCTGTCCCCCCCTCCACCCAGTTGGACAGTAGTTACTAGGTCCTGTCCCCCCCTCCACCCAGTTGGACAGTAGTTACTAGGTCCTGTCCCCCCCTCCACCCAGTTGGACAGTAGTTACTAGGTCCTGTCCCCCCCCTCCACCCAGTTGGACAGTAGTTACTAGGTCCTGTCCCCCCCCTCCACCCAGTTGGACAGTAGTTACTAGGACCTGTCCCCCCCCTCCACCCAGTTGGACAGTAGTTACTAGGACCTGTCCCCCCCCTCCACCCAGTTGGACAGTAGTTACTAGGTCCTGTCCCCCCCCCTCCACCCAGTTGGACAGTAGTTACTAGGACCTGTCCCCCCCCCTCCACCCAGTTGGACAGTAGTTACTAGGACCTGTCCCATGGTTGATGCCTGCAATACTGCAATGTAGTCTGCCTGGAACGAGCCCTGTGTACCTCTGTTGTCACTGATAGGTGGGTTTGTGTAGATGCTTAAGACCGACATCGGACAGGGCCTGGTCCTGTAAGACATGGGGAGACCAGGGTTGTATTCATTAGGGCACGTAACAGAAAATGTTTTGAAAACGTTTTGCGATGGGGAAAAAGAAAATGATTGTTTCTAATGTCAGTCCGTTTTGGTTCCAAATGAATACGACCCAGTCTTGACCGAGGCTCAGCTGCACTGAATAGGCCTACTGCAGTACCCAGTTAGTCCACGATGTTCTGTTTTGGTATCGATTTGATATGACCTGTGGTTGGGACCTAAACTTCTCCTTCCTTGCTAAAACTACTTTTACCCCCATTTTTTATTTTTACCCCTCTGCTTCTCCAGTAGAAGTTACCATGACGATGGCGATTTCATAGCCCCACCTACTCCCTTTTTAGACTTTGGATTGTCTTTCGTTGTTTTACGAGTTATGGAAACGTAAAAAAGACAGATCTATTTGTTCTAGTTTTTTGATAGATCAGGAGGATCATAGTCAATGTTGATGCCTAAAATGCATGTTATTTCTAGTTGCATACATTTAGTGTTGGCTGTTAGTGAGTTAGTAAGTTTAATACCCATTGTGAAGCACATAATTCGATCAGTCGCCAGTCCATGTTTTATTTTCCTATAAGCTGTAATTTTGAATATGATCTTTTTAAGTGTCATGATGCTTGTTAAAATAGTGTGAAAGCTCTGGTCTTGGTCCCAGTAAGTGTTGTAATATCTAACACACCCCTTAGCTGTGACATTGTTGTACTACATTTGAGAGAACCCCTGATTCCTAATTTGTGTTTAATATTGCAGTTATTATTCCCAAACGTAGCTCTCTCTCTAATATATATGAAAATATACCTAATAATAATCTTGCAATAGATCCAAAAAAGTGTGTTTTTAGTTTATGGAAGAACTCATGGCCGTGTTTTCAGATTTTTGTTATTGTATTATTATGGCTTTTAACATTTTGGTTTAGATTATAATGGGACACTTATTGGCTTGCCCCTGATATTGGTTTAACGCTGCGCACATATAGTTAATTTGAATAATGTATAGAAAATGAACAACCGATGGAGTAAAAAGTAACGTTGTTTGTTTAAATGTAGATCCCTTCTTTAATGTCTGACTGTCTCTGCCTCTTGGTCTGTCAGCCTCTCTCTCGCTCTCTCTCTTTCTCTCTCCCAAATTAATTTCAAGGGGCTTTATTGGCATGGGAAACATATGTTTACATTGCCAAAGCAAGTGAAATGGATAAACAAAAGTTCTCTCTCTCTCTCGCGCTGCCTGTCAGTCAGCCTTTCTCTCTCTCTCGCGCTGCCTGTCAGTCAGCCTTTCTCTCTCGCGCTGCCTGTCAGTCAGCCTTTCTCTCTCTCTCTCGCTGCCTGTCAGTCAGCCTTTCTCTCGCGCTGCCTGTCAGTCAGCCTTTCTCTCTCTCGCGCTGCCTGTCAGTCAGCCTTTCTCTCGCGCTGCCTGTCAGTCAGCCTTTCTCTCGCGCTGCCTGTCAGTCAGCCTTTCTCTCGCGCTGCCTGTCAGTCAGCCTTTCTCTCTCTCTCGCTGCCTGTCAGTCAGCCTTTCTCTCGCGCTGCCTGTCAGTCAGCCTTTCTCTCGCGCTGCCTGTCAGTCAGCCTTTCTCTCTCTCGTGCTGCCTGTCAGTCAGCCTTTCTCTCGCGCTGCCTGTCAGTCAGCCTTTCTCTCTCTCTCGCTGCCTGTCAGTCAGCCTTTCTCTCGCGCTGCCTGTCAGTCAGCCTTTCTCTCGCGCTGCCTGTCAGTCAGCCTTTCTCTCTCTCGCGCTGCCTGTCAGTCAGCCTTTCTCTCGCGCTGCCTGTCAGTCAGCCTTTCTCTCGTGCTGCCTGTCAGTCAGCCTTTCTCTCTCTCTCGCGCTGCCTGTCAGTCAGCCTTTCTCTCTCTCGCTCTGTGTCTCTTATTACCTGTGCAGAATAAAGACATTTCCTGAATGAAGGACTTCTGGACTGAGTGGTTTGTCTCTTCTCCCTATGTTCCTATGTATGGAGACATCACCTCACAGCACTTTCACACTTCATGATCGGCTGTGTAAAGCTCCAAGTGGCTTTATGAAACAACATGGAACCATGGAGGTATTTACCTCGGTGCAGACGACGGTTTACTGACCGTGTCCCAACAGGATATGATGAATGAGTTTAGACAGACGTTTTTACTGACCGTGTCTCAACAGGATATGATGATGGAGGTTAGACGGACCATTCTTTATCCCTTCAAAACAGGAAGACCGCACAATGGGATGGCCATAGCCTGCTTCCTCTGCTGACAGTCCCTGGACTCATACTAGTGCACCAATTACCGTCAAAGAGACGAAATGTTTGTTAATTTTGTTTATTTAAAATACATTACAGCCCAAGATCAGGTTCAGTTTTCAAAATCAACATTAGAATATAACCACGCTATGACCACTATAAACCCACTAGCAATGAGGCGTGTCTTATGTACTGTACTGAGCTCAGCAATAATTCAAGAAGTTGATGGTTCAATTTTTTGTAGAACTTTTCAAAGATGATCTATTATATTGAGAAGATTGCCGAGTGACCTCTAATGCATGTCCTCAATGGAGTGAGATCAGGTGGGACCATGCTAGCCAATGAGAGGGCAGATACGCGTGTGCAACAACATTTTATTTATTTATTTTTATTTCACCTTTATTTAACCAGGTAAACCAGTTGAGAACAAGTTCTCATTTACAACTGCGACCTGGCCAAGATAAAGCAAAGCAGTGTGATAAAAACAACAACACAGAGTTACATATGGGGTAAAACAAAACAAAGTCAAAAAATACAACAGAAAATATATATACAGTGTGTGCAAATGTAGCAAGTTATGGAGGTAAGGCAATAAATAGGCTATAGTGCAAAATAATTACAATTAGTATTAACACTGGATAAGATACAGATAAGTCGTTTTTCTCAAAGTTGCCGGAATTGCCACTCGGCATCCACTTATTTCAGTACATTTTGTAACAGCATTACGACACTTCTATTTGATCAAGTAAGCCTCAGGTAATTCCACCATCTCGTAGACCGTCATACAAAAAAAGGGTTTATCTCACGCTGACAAATTTTGGATGGAATAAATCCTCTCGCTTCGCCTCTTCTTTCAGTATCGGGCACGTCCCAAATGAGGAAGAGGAGCGGCACGTCCCAAATGAGGAAGAGGAGCGGCACGTCCCAAATGAGGAAGAGGAGCGGCACGTCCCAAATGAGGAAGAGGAGCGGCACGTCCCAAATGAGGAAGAGGAGCGGCATAAATACAAGACCGAAAGCCGTTCTATCCAATAGAATCACGAGAATCACGTCGGACCCTCCTTGTCAAAAATGTATTCTCAGCCAATGTGAATGCTCGATGTTCAGTTGTCAAAGCAGGTTAATGTTCTGTTTTGCGTCCCGGTCAGAGCGGAGAAAGTGGTAGTTTGTTAGCTAGAAGTTCCAGACATGTTGAGTAGTTTGGGGAGCGCCGGTGGGAAGTCTACCAAGCCGTCCTTCGTTTCCTATGTGACGCCGGAGGTAAGTCTGTCCATGAAACGCTGCTGTATTAGCGGACGCCATGTGTGCATGTTGGATGAGATGGCTAAAAGCCTGTCATTTCATACGGACTAGTTACCATAAATGCTATCTGGCTAGCTGACATGATTGGGACAGGGCGGGTTATGGTTCCTATAGCCGCCCGCAGCCCGTTAAACTAAAGTTTTAGGAAAAACAGCATTTCCAATCGATATGTAACTGTTTGTCCTGGAACAGAGTACTGTTTCTCTCCGGAGAATGGTGTGCCTTGTCATGTTTTCAATGACTGTAGGATAGTGTGCTTGATTTCTCCCTTCATATTTTGTCAGCAGACAACATTCAACTGTAACAGTGTTGTTGTTTTTTGTAAGGAGTCTTCCAGGCACTTCAAGATAAATTAAAACATTGTTACTCCTGACTCAGCTTTTTTGTGTTGTTTTTTTTTTACAGTGAGCTTGCGTGACTTTTCAACTGTCAGATCTGCATTGATTAGTCAGTCAAACTAGAAAACATAGATGGCAAACATGCAATACAATGTTGCTATTTCTCTATCCGTAAACACCATCTGAAATCATAGTAGATGAGTTATTATCCGGTATGGGAATCCACAAGCCATTATAGCATATATCCTATCTGAACTGTGGAAGTGTGGGAACAACACAACTTCCGTAGGAAACCTCAGCAGAAAGTGCAGAAGGCAGCATAATACTTTTTTTTGTAGGACATTTAACACGGGCAAGATGGAATATCTATTCTATTCAAGAACGCAACACAGTGTTGGCTACAGAACAGCAGTCATTCAGCAATGAATTGTAGTCAAAATACCGTGAAAGGAACAGTAACATACTGTTATCCCACGGTCTGGAAGTCATAGTTTTATGAACGTCACATGGCAGACCCAGTAGTCCATATTCGTGTGACACGGTAACGGCTGATGTCTGCAGTTTTGGCTCCCAAACACATATTAACCCAGCACAATAATACAGTTATGTGTATGTGGTAAGTCCCGTGTAGCTCAGTTGGTAGAGCATGGCGCTTGCAACGGCAGGGTTGTGGGTTCGATTCCCACGGGGGGGGAAATAAAAAATGTATGCACTCACTTAACTGTAAGTCGCTCTGGATAAGAGCGTCTGCTAAATGACTTAAATGTTAAATGTGAGCAGAGAAGGCAAGCTCTGGGTCTTGTGACTCCTCGTGTGTCCTCTGAATGGCATCCTAGCTTATGGGAAGCTGACCTTAATGAAATGCTGACAGGAGAACAGCTGGGACATACTAAGGATATTTTACAAAGCAGTGGCGCTACATGGTTTAGTGAATATGTTTGAACAGCCTCAGTGATACAGTATCTCCTAATCAGGGGTCCCTGATGATGATGATGATGATGATGATGATGGTTCCATCCCTGTTTAGAGAGTAGTGGCTACACTTATCAAGGTCTCCGACAATGTGTTGTGTGAAGTGGGCTACTGGGTTGCACGCTACCCCAACTACCATTTTGATTATGATGAAGAGCAGCCAGTAACATGGTGGGGGCCAAAGTACACAACATAAAGTTCAGACGAGAAGAGCTGATTCACACTCTCACACAGCTGATAACAGAAGGGAAAACCATTTTTTCAATCAACATAATACGTTTGCAGTGTTCATCTTCCAAGTCGGCCATTGCCTTGATGTTGTAGGCCTATCTCTAATACTGCTTTCACAAAGTATTTACAGTGTTTTGGGCAATGTTTATACACTACATGACCAAAAGTATGTGGACACCTGCTCGTCGAACATCTCTTTCCAAAATCGTGGGCATTAATATGGAGTTGGTCCCCCCTTTGCTGCTATAACAGCCTCCACTCTTCTGGGATGGCTTTCCACTAGATGTTGGAACATTGCTGCAGGCCCGTCAAGTTCTTCCACACCGATGTCAACAAACTATTTCTGTATGGTCCTCGCTTTGTGCACGGGGGGCATTGTCATGCTGAAACAGGAAAGGGCCTTCCCCAAACTGTTGCCACAAAGTTGGAAGCACAGAATCGTCTAGAATGTCATTGTATGCTGTAGCGTTAAGATTTCCCTTCACTGGAACTAAGGGGCCTAACCCAAAATGAAAACAGCCCCAGACCATTATTCCTCCTCCGCCAAACTTTACAGTTGGCACTATGCATTGGGGCATGTAGCGTTCTCCTGGCATCCGCCAAACCCAGATTTGTCTGTCGGACTACCAGATGGTGAAGCGTGATTCATCACTCCAGGCGGCGAGCTTTACACCACTCCAGCTGACGCTTGGCATTGCGCATGGTGATCTTAGGCTTGTGTGCGGCTGCTCGGCCATGGAAACCCATTTCATGAAGCTCCCGACAAAAAGGGATTGTGCTGATTTTGCTTCCAGAGGCAGTTTGATTTTTTTCGTGCTTCAGCATTCGCCGGTCCCGTTCTGTAAGGTTGTGTGGCCTACCACTTCAGGGCTGAGCCGGCGTTGCCCCTAGAGGTTTCCACTTCACAATAACAGCACTTACAGTTGACCGGGGCAGCTCTAGCTGGGCAGAAATTTGACAAACTGACTTGTTGGAAAGGTGGCATCCTACGACGGTGCGAAGTTGAAAGTCACTGAGCTCTTCAGTATGGGCCATTCTACTGCCAATGTTTGTCTATGGAGATTGCATGGCTGTGTGCTCGGTTTTATACACCTGTCAGTAAGGTGTGGCTGAAATATATAATATAAATAATAATATAATGATAATAATATTCCATTTAGCAGACGCTTTTATCCAAAGCGACTTACAGTCATGTGTGCATACATTTTTACGTAAATATCTGAATCCACTCATTTGAAGGGGTGTCCACATACTTTTGTGTATATATAGTGTAAGAGGTAAAAGGATGTGTAATGTTTATATGACCCCCTTTATAAACAGGCCCATTTCTACCCCCTTTATAAACAGGCCCATTTCTACCCCCTTTATAAACAGGCCCATTTCTACCCCCTTTATAAACAGGCCCATTCTACCCCCTTTAAACAGGCCCATTTCTACCCCCTTTATAAACAGGCCCATTTCTACCCTTTATAACGCCATCTTTTACCCCCTTGTAGAAGCCGACAGCTGGACCCTTTATAGAAGGCCTGGTCTAATTTATAAATCCATTGGAATATACCACCATCAAACAGGAAATCCATTTTAATTATAAGCAGGTCCCATTACACCTTATAAACAACCATTTTACCTTTAAAACAGAGCATTTTACTTTATAATAGGCCTCTATTTATAGGGTTTTCCTTTCAGCCATTTCTGACCCCTATAAACGAGGCCTATTTTAGTTATTAAACAGCACATCACCCCCAATCAGGCACACACATTCACCCCTTTATAACAGGCCCATTCTAACTAACATTCTTGCCTGCATCTTTTATACGTCCCGTGCTGGAATGCCGACAGGCTGGGGACGAGTGGTAGTAGATGTGGGTGGGGTCTATTTTTAATAAATCCATTGAGAATATACACCATCAAAAGGAAATCCATTATTAATTAGTTTAGGCAGGTCCTGAGAAACATAAGACTAAATAAAATGTATTTTCAAAAGAATAGAATAGCATATTTTGAGTTTAATTAGGTCTATGTTATGGGTCTGTGCAGCCATGGCTGACCATCCAAATGAAATCCGTAGTTCCTTATTTTGTTCATTAAACAGACAAGACACGCCCACCAGATCACGGTCAACACACACACAGTGTATTGGGAAAGTATTCAGACCCCTTGACTTTTTCCACATTGTGTTACGTTACGGCCTTATTCTAAACTTGATTAAATAAGTAAAAATCCCCAGCAATCTACACACCAATACCCCATAATCGCAAAGCGAAAACAGGTTTTTAGACATTTTACCAAATGTATTAAAAACAGAAATACCTTATTTACATAAGTATCCCTTTGCTATGAGACTCGAAATTGAGCTCAGGTGCATCCTGTTTCCATTGATCAACTTGAGATGTTTCTACAACTTGATTGGAGTCCACCTGTGGTAAATTCAATTGATTGGACATGATTTGGAAAGGCACACACCTGTCTATATAAGGACCCACAGTTGACAGTGCATGTCAGAGCAAAAACCAAGCCATGAGGTTGAAGGAATTGTCCGTAGAGCTCGGAGACAGGATTGTGTCGAGGCACAGATCTGGGGAAGGGTACCAAAAACATTCTGCAGCATTTGAAGGTCCCCAAGAACACAATGGCCTCCATCATTCTTAAATGGAAGAAGTTTGGAACCACCAAGACTTTTCCTAGAGCTGGCCGCTCGGCCAGCCAAACTGAACAATCGGGGAGAAGGGCCTTGGGTCAGGGTGGTGACCAAGAACCCGATGGTCACTCTGACAAAGCAGCACTCCACCAATGAGGAGTGACCAGACGAAAGCCATTCCTCAGTAAAAGGCACATGACAGCCAGCTTGGAGTTTGACAAAAGGCACCTAAAGGATTCTCAGACCATGAGAAACAAGATTCTCTAGTCTGATGAATCCAAGATGAAACGCTTTGGCCTGAATGCCAAGCGTCACGTCTGGAGGAAATCTGGCACCATCCCTACGGTGAAGCATGGTGGTGGCAGCATCATGCTGTGGGGATGTTTTTCAGCGGCAGGGACTGGGAGACTAGTCAGGATCGAGGGAAAGATGAACGGAGCAAAGTACAGAGAGATCCTTGATGAAAACCTGCTCCAGAGCGCTCAGGACCTCAGACTGGGGTGAAGGTTCACCTTCCAATAGGACAACGACCCTAAGCACACAGCCAAGACAACGCCCGAATCTCTGAATGTCCTTGAGTGGCCCAGCCAGAGCCCGGACTTGAACCCGACATTCAGAGACTCCTGCTTTTATTTTTTTATCCACGTTTCATCTCTTTCCTCCACTTTGTTAGGGAGCAGGCGTAGGTTCTTACATCGAAAGTATCTTCATCATGATACCGATAGAAAATAATAGCAATCTATATTTTCAAAAGCATGTGAGTCTGTCGATTGAGCAAAATAATAGGCCTACTCTTGATTTAGGCTACATTGTAGCATGCTAAATGTTTCTGATCAGTGACAGATGAACACTTGATTTAGGCTACATTATAGCATGCTAAATGTTTCTGATCAGTGACAGATGAGCTATACCACCTCCAGTTGCCTGGCCAGAAACCAATGAACCAAATAGCCTATAGAGACGGAGGTTCAGTGAAACAAAATCACATTGATTGAGGCAAGTCAGTGGAGTCACAGACTTCTGGTCGGGAGGAGGCCTGGGTTACTAAACGACTGTGACTGAAGAGCAAAATAATCCACTTTTCAAACTACATAACATGTAAAAATGTTCTGATAACCGATCCAACTAGACCAGATGATCATGAGGAGCACTCACCTCATTTTAGCTCAAATTTTACCAGTCTAATTGTAGCCTGACCAATATCCAAACAGAGATTCAGTGAAAACAAAAATCTGACGTATTGATTTATCAATAGGAATCCCCACGCTGTGATTATCAATAGGAGTCCCCACGCTGTGATTATCAATAGGAGTCCCCACGCTGTGATTATCAATAGGAGTCCCCACGCTGTGATTATCAATAGGAGTCCCCACGCTGTGATTATCAATAGGAGTCCCCACGCTGTGATTATCAATAGGAGTCCCCACGCTGTGATTATCAATAGGAGTCCCCACGCTGTGATTATCAATAGGAGTCCCCACGCTGTGATTATCAATAGGAGTCCCCACGCTGTGATTATCAATAGGAGTCCCCACGCTGTGATGGCGGTGCTGATATTCGCATCTACACTGAACAAAATATAAATGCAACAATTCCAAAGATTTTACTGAGTTACAGTTCATATAAGGAAATCAGTCAATTGAAATACATTCATTAGGCCCTAATTTATGGATTTCACATGACTGGGAATACAGATGTTCCCTTTATCTAATATTAGGTTTTGGTTGAAGATCTGATAACAATCAGTATCGCAAATATGCAAAAGTGGAGAAAATTAGAAAGGGGGCAAATACTTTTTCATAGCACTGTATGTAGTGAGGGCCAGCCAATGAGAGCGTACAGGTCACAATGGTGGGTAGTATATGGGGCTTTGGTGACAAAACGGATGGCACCGTGATAGACTACATCCAATTTGCTGAGTAGAGTGTTGGAAGCTATTTTGTAAATGACATCGCCAAAGTCAAGGATCGGTAGGATAGTCAGTTTTACGAGGGCATGTTTGGCAGCATGAGTGAAGGAGGCTTTGTTGCGAAATAGGAAGCCGATTCTAGATTTAACTTTGGATTGGAGATGCTTAATGTGAGTCTGGAAGGAGAATTTACGGTCTAACCAGACACCTACAGTGGGGAGAACAAGTATTTGATACACTGCCGATTTTGCAGGTTTTCCTACTTACAAAGCATGTAGAGGTCTGTAATTTTTATCATAGGTACACTTCAACTGTGAGAGACGGAAAATCAAAAATCCAGAAAATCACATTGTATGATTTTTAAGTAATTCATTTGCATTTTATTGCATGACATAAGTATTTGATACATCAGAAAAGCAGAACTTAATATTTGGTACAGAAACCTTTGTTTGCAATTACAGAGATCATACGTTTCCTGTAGGTCTTGACCAGGTTTGCACACACTGCAGCAAGGATTTTGTCCCACTCCTCCATACAGACCTTCTCCAGATCCTTCAGGTTTCGGGGCTGTCGCTGGCCAATACGGACTTTCAGCTCCCTCCAAAGATTTTCTATTGGGTTCAGGTCTGGAGACTGGCTAGGCCACTCCAGGACCTTGAGATGCTTCTTACGGAGCCACTCCTTAGTTGCCCTGGCTGTGTGTTTCGGGTCGTTGTCATGCTGGAAGACCCAGCCACGACCCATCTTCAATGCTCTTACTGAGGGAAGGAGGTTGTTGGCCAAGATCTCGCGATACATGGCCCCATCCATCCTCCCCTCAATACGGTGCAGTCGTCCTGTCCCCTTTGCAGAAAAGCATCCCCAAAGAATGATGTTTCCACCTCCATGCTTCACGGTTGGGATGGTGTTCTTGGGGTTGTACTCACCCTCCAAACACGGCGAGTGGAGTTTAGACCAAAAAGCTCTATTTTTGTCTCATCAGACCACATGACCTTCTCCCATTCCTCCTCTGGATCATCCAGATGGTCATTGGCGAACTTCAGACGGGCCTGGACATGCGCTGGCTTGAGCAGGGGGACCTTGCGTGCGCTGCAGGATTTTAATCCATGACGGCGTAGTGTGTTACTAATGGTTTTCTTTGAGACTGTGGTCCCAGCTCTCTTCAGGTCATTGACCAGGTCCTGCCGTGTAGTTCTGGGCTGAACCCTCACCTTCCTCATGATCATTGATGCCCCACGAGGTGAGATCTTGCATGGAGCCCCAGACCGAGGGTGATTGACCGTCATCTTGAACTTCTTCAATTTTCTATTAATTGCGCCAACAGTTGTTGCCTTCTCACCAAGCTGCTTGCCTATTGTCCTGTAGCCCATCCCAGCCTTGTGCAGGTCTACAATTTTATCCCTGATGTCCTTACACAGCTCTCTGGTCTTGGCCATTGTGGAGAGGTTGGAGTCTGTTTGATTGAGTGTGTGGACAGGTGTCTTTTATACAGGTAATGAGTTCAAACAGGTGCAGGTAATGAGTGGAGAACAGGAGGGCTTCTTAAAGAAAAACTAACAGGTCTGTGAGACCCAGAATTCTTACTGGTTGGTAGGTGATCAAATACTTATGTCATGCAATAAAATGCAAATGAATTACTTAAAAATCATACAATGTGATTTTCTGGATTTTTGTTTTAGATTCCGTCTCTCACAGTTGAAGTGTACCTATGATAAAAAATTACAGACCTCTACATGCTTTGTAAGTAGGAAAACCTGCAAAATCGGCAGTGTATCAAATACTTGTTCTCCCCACTGTAGGTATTTGTTGTTGTCCACATATTCTAAGTCAGACCCGCCGAGAGTAGTGATTCTAGTCGGGCGGGCGGGTGCAAGCAGCGTTCGATTGAAGAGCATGCATTTAGTTTTACTAGCGTTTAAGAGCATTTGGAGGCTACGGAAGGAGTGTTGTATGGCATTGAAGCTCGTTTCGAGGTTTGTTAACACAGTGTCCAATGAAGGGCCAGATGTATACAAAATGGTGTCGTCTGCGTAGAGGTGGATCTGAGAGTCACCAGCAGCAAGAGCGACATCATTGATATACACTGAGAAAAGTGTCGGCCCGAGAATTGAACCCTGTGGCACCCCCATAGAGACTGCCAGAGGTCCAGACAACAGGCCCTCAGATTTGAGACATTGAACTCTATCTGATAAGTAGTTGGTGAACCAGGTGAGGCAGTCATTTGAGAAACCAAGGCTATTTAGTCTGCCAATAAGAATGCGGTGATTGACGGAGTCGAAAGCCTTGGCCAGGTCGATGAAGACGGCTGCACAGTACCGTCTTTTATCGATCGCGGTTATAATATCGTTTAGGACCTTTAGCGTGGCTGAGTTGCACCCATGACCAGCTCAGAAACCAGATTGCATAGCGGAGAAGGTACGGTGGGATTCGAAATGGTCGGTGATCTGTTTGTTAACTTGGCTTTCAAATACTTTCGAAAGGCAGGGCAGGATGGATATAGGTCTGTAACAGTTTGGATCTAGAGTGTCACCCCCTTTGAAGAGGGGGATGACCGCGGCAGCTTTCCAATCTCTGGGGATCTCAGACGATACGAAAGAGAGGTTGAACAGGCTGGTAATAGGGGGTGCGACAATTTCGGCGGCTAATTTTAGAAAGAAAGGGTCCAGATTGTCTAGCCCAGCTGATTTGTAGGGGTCCAGATTTTGCAGCTCTTTCAGAACATCAGCTGTCTGAATTTGTGTGAAGGAGAAGCGGGGGGGGGGGCATGGGCAAGTTGCAGCGGAGGGTGCAGAGCTGGTGGCCGGGGTAGTGGTAGCCAGGTGGAAAGCAATTTGATACATTCCTTCAATTGCATTAGGCAACTTTATTCCAATATTTTTGTTATTCAGTGATATTTATTACCACAGTCATTCTTTATGGATCCATCCAGTTGTGGTTTAAGAAAACAGTGCATGCTTAGTGGTGGGCAATGCGAAGAGCTGGGCGACGTGACATGGCTTGCAAAGTTGAGAACTGGCATGAGGACATTATCAGGGTGCTGCCTAGCAACCATGAAGACTTTAAGAGCGTAGTGCGTTCCTCCTCAGCATTACGGCTACGTTTCATACTAAACCGTAGGCAGAACTTTACTGAAATTAATACTAAGTCGTTTGGAGGAAATCAACGTTTTGGCTTTGATACCGGCAATACCTTTCAGATATAAAGAAAAGGTGGAAAAAAGTTGGCGGTGTGTTAAAGTTGGCGGTATGGTAAAGTTGACGGTGTGGTAAAGTTGACGGTGTGGTAAAGTTGATGGTATGGTAAAGTTGATGGTATGGTAAAGTTGACGGTGTGGTAAAGTTGACGGTATGGTAAAGTTGACGGTGTGGTAAAGTTGACAGTGTGGTAAAGTTCACGGTATGGTAAAGTTGACGGTATGGTAAAGTTGACGGTATGGTAAAGTTGACGGTGTGGTAAAGTTGGCGGGGGAAATGTATTGGTATGAAAGGGATCTAACTGAATGTAGGGCTATGACCCTGGATATTGGACTCCTCTCTCTAACTGGATATTTACAGGGCTACATTTTACCATCTCACACACATTCCAATATTCAATCCATTTGTAAATAAAATGGGACTCTGTTTTACTACCAAGAGGAATATCCCACTTTCTGGCCACTCTCCAGTGTGCAGCTCAATAAGGCCTGGATATCTCTGACTGAATATAGGGCTGCGTTTGACTATCTCACATTAGCTAAGCCTAGCTGCGTCTTTAGATGGAAATAGGAGGAGGGCTGCAGTTCAGATACTAATACAGAAATAGTTGACTTCCTCTGTGAGGCCAGAAGTGTCAACAGTATCAGGAAACCAGCAGTGTGCAGTAGCCCACAGCTTTAAAACCAGCCTTATCGATGGTCACAGCTTTAAAACGAGCCTTATCGATGGTCACAGCTTTAAAACGAGCCTTATCGATGGTCACAGCTTTAAAACGAGCCTTAACTATGGTCACAGCATTAAAATTAACAATAATAATTAATAATAATAATAATAATATGCCATTTAGCAGACGCTTTTATCCAAAGCGACTTACAGTCATGTGCGCATACATTTTTACGTATGAGTGGTCCCGGGGATCGAACCCACTACCCTGGCGTTGCAAGCGCCATGCTCTACCAATTGGGCTACAGAGCTTTAAAATGATCCTTATCTATGGTCACAGCATTAAAATGAAAATTAACTATGGTCACAGCTTTAAAATTAGTATTATCTATGGCAGGGGGGAACTCAACTACTATTTGAGAAGGTCCAGAGACACCAATGTCCTGGGTGATAAAGGTCCGGATGGAGATGGTCCTTTATCAGCACCAATGTCCTGGGTGATAAAGGTCCGGATGGAGATCGTCCTTTATCAGCGTAGTAACCAACATAGTCGTCTACGACTTAGGAAACATGTTGTTATATAAAATGCACATTTAAATACATTAAATGACTAAGAATTTGAATTAATTACAACTTCTTTCAAATGTAAACATGTGCAACATTGCATCAACATTGCTGAAGAACAGAAGTGGTTGCATAATTGTCTATACAAAAAGTGCATTGGCCTTGAATTATTATTATTATTATTATTATTAATTTAAAATAAAGTGCATGTTTTCTGGAGATCAAAGGAGAGTTTAACTAAAATAATAATCTGAATGCACAGAACGTCACTGTGGGCCATGCAATATTCATGTATAAGTCCCTCTGGGCCTTGCCTTGCAGTAATGAGAGAAATTACACTTTCTGTCTCCTGCCAATGCTTTGAACTTTGGCACAAATGGTGTGAGAGAAACTCTGAGACACTGGTGCAGGTGTTCATTGGTGAGCCTGGTGCGGTATTTGTTTTTTAATAAAGTTCATTGTGGAGAAGGCAGATTCACAGCTGTCTGTGGATCCAAACATGGTCAGGATGTGTAGCGCCAGCTGTCTGTGGAGCCAAACATGGTCAGGATGTGTAGCGCCAGCTGTCTGTGGATCCAAACATGGTCTGGATGTGTAGCGCCAGCTGTCTGTGGATCCAAACATGGTCTGGATGTGTAGCGCCAGCTGTCTGTGGATCCAAACATGGTCCGGATGTGTAGCGCCAGCTGTCTGTGGATCCAAACATGGTCTGGATGTGTAGCGCCAGCTGTCTGTGGAGCCAAACATGGTCAGGATGTGTAGCGCCAGCTGTCTGTGGAGCCAAACATGGTCAGGATGTGTAGCGCCAGCTGTCTGTGGAGCCAAACATGGTCTGGATGTGTAGCGCCAGCTGTCTGTGGATCCAAACATGGTCTGGATGTGTAGCGCCAGTTTCCTGAACAGGGACATCAGCTGCAGGCGCCATCTTTCCCCAGAAAGGGACAGGGTCACGATCACCAGCCGGCTCCTTCAGAGCCAATCACCAGCCTGCTCCTTCAAAGCCAATCACCAGCCGGCTCCTTCTGGGCCAATCACCAGCCGGCTCCTTCAGAGCCAATCACCAGCCGGCTCCTTCAGAGCCAATCACCAGCCGGCTCCTTCAGAGCCAATCACCAGCCGGCTCCTTCAGAGCCAATCACCAGCCTGCTCCTTCAGAGCCAATCACCAGCCGGCTCCTTCAAAGCCAATCACCAGCCGGCTCCTTCAGAGCCAATCACCAGCCGGCTCCTTCAGAGCCAATCACCAGCCGGCTCCTTCAAAGCCAATCACCAGCCGGCTCCTTCAGAGCCAATCACCAGCCGGCTCCTTCAGAGCCAATCACCAGCCGGCTCCTTCAGAGCCGATCACCAGCCGGCTCCTTCAAAGCCGATCACCAGCCTGCTCCTTCAAAGCCAATCACCAGCCTGCTCCTTCAAAGCCAATCACCAGCCGGCTCCTTCAAAGCCGATCACCAGCCTGCTCCTTCAAAGCCAATCACCAGCCGGCTCCTTCAAAGCCGATCACCAGCCTGCTCCTTCAAAGCCGCATTTTCTTGCAGCTCAATCAACTCCATTTGCAGTGATGCAGCATCTACCCATCTGAAGATCTGTTTTGCTTCTTCTGACAACTTTGTCAAATTTGTGACCAAGAAGGTGGTTCTGGATGAGCAGCAGCAGTTCTCCTCCAACAGTGAAGTCATCAAAGCGAGCCTTGAAGTTCTCCATCAGCTTCTGGATGAAATGAACCTGGTTGGGAACATCTTTGTCTCTCTGCATTTGCACCGGAAGATTTCTGTCAGCATCCCTTTGATGGCCTCATGGATATCCTCTCCCCGTGTGTGTGCTTCTAGATTTGTTAAGCCCAACAGCTCCTCACAGAATACCTTCTTTGTTTCGTTATAAAATCTGACCCAACACCAGAAGCTGGGCATTATCAGTGTTATCTGTTAATTCATCCTAATGAAATGCATGGTGCATTCTGAATGGCCTCATCAAGTTGTGAAGTTTAAATATTCAGCTAATATTTCAGTTCTCCTCATGGCTGTGGGATCTGTTTTGATCTTTTCTCTGAGCTCATCTTTTTGTTTACCTTCAAGCAAGGTGTCAGAAACTTCACACATGCATTATTTGCATTATCTCAGCATCTGAAAATGTTTTTTGTTGTTGTGTTTTTCCAAAACCAAGTTATCCTCAGTGAACACTCCATTGCACGTTGTTGGGCTGTCAGGGAATTGACAAGGATTTTGGTGGACGTCTCATATTGGGATTTGAGTTGGTTAATCTAGTTTGTTCTCACCTCCGTGTTCAGGGGATACGTCTGATCCAATTTACTATGCCTGGTGTCATAATGGTGCTTAACATGGGCACTTTTCAGGAGAGCTACGACTCACTGCATATCAGGCATCATATCATATATCAGGCATCATGTCATATTATATCAGGCATCTTATCATATTTACATTTACATTTTAGTCATTTAGCAGACGCTCTTATCCAGAGCGACTTACAGTTAGTGAGTGCATACATTATTTTATTTTTATTTTTTCATACTGGCCCCACGTGGGAATCGAACCCACAACCCTGGCTTTGCAAACGCCATGCTCTACCAACTGAGCTACATCCCTGCCGGCCATTCCCTCCCCTACTCTGGACGACGCTGGGCCAATTGTGCGCCGCCCCATGGGCATCATATCATATATCATGTCAGGCATCATATCATATATCATGTCAGGCATCATATCATATATCAGGCATCAAATCAGATATCATATCATATATCAGGCATCATATCATATATATCAGGCATCATATCATATAAGGCATCATATCATATATCAGGCATCATATCATATATCATGTCAGGCACATTGGTTTTGTGCTAGTTGGAGGGAGAATGAATGAATACTGTTCTGTCCACCTGTATTTGAATATGTGGTTTTTCAGAGTCAACTTGTCAATTTTTTTAGCCATATTACCAAAGATCCTGGTAACTAAGCTCCTATCTGTGATATTAACAGGGAGAGGGGGAGAGGGACGAGGGGAGAGGGACGAGGGGAGAGGGACGAGGGGAGAGGGGACGAGGGGAGAGGGACGAGGGAGAGAGGGGAGTAGGGACGAGGGGAGAGAGGGGGAGAGGGACGAGGGGAGGGAGAGGGACGAGGGAGGGAGAGGACCCGAGGGGATGAGAGGGGAGGGGGTACGAGGGGAGAGGGGGGAGAGGGACGAGGGGAGAGGGACGAGGGAGAGGTTACTGAGGTTAGAGTGGCCGCTGCGCCCGGTTTTCTAAAACGGTCAAAAAATAATTGATTGACTTTTATAGAACAAAATGCGCTGTTGTCCGGTCCGGATTGACCCTTCTCTGGGGAACGCGGTCCGCCAGTTGAGTTTGGCTTGTCTATGGTCACAGCTTTAAAATGAGCCTTATCTATGGCCACGGCTTTAAAATGAGCCTTATCTATGGTCACAGCTTTAAAATGAGCCTTATCTATGGCCACGGCTTTAAAATGAGCCTTATCTATGGCCACAGCATTAAAATGAGCCTTATCTATGGCCACAGCTTTAAAATGAGCCTTATCTATGGTCACAGCTTTAAAATGAGCCTTATCTATGGCCACGGCTTTAAATGAGCCTTATCTATGGCCACAGCATTAAAATGAGCCTTATCTATGGCCACAGCATTAAAATGAGCCTTATCTATGGCCACAGCTTTAAAATGAGCCTTATCTATGGCCACAGCTTTAAAATGAGCCTTATCTATGGTCACAGCTTTAAAATGAGCCTTATCTATGGCCACGGCTTTAAAATGAGCCTTATCTATGGTCACAGCTTTAAAATGAGCCTTATCTATGGCCACAGCATTAAAATGAGCCTTATCTATGGCCACAGCATTAAAATGAGCCTTATCTATGGCCACGGCTTTAAAATGAGCCTTATCTATGGCCACGGCTTTAAAATGAGCCTTATCTATGGTCACAGCTTTAAAATGAGCCTTATCTATGGCCACAGCTTTAAAATGAGCCTTATCTATGGCCACGGCTTTAAAATGAGCCTTATCTATGGTCACAGCTTTAAAATGAGCCTTATCTATGGCCACAGCATTAAAATGAGCCTTATCTATGGCCACAGCTTTAAAATGAGCCTTATCTATGGCCACAGCTTTAAAATTAGCCTTATCTATGGCCACAGCTTTCAAATTAGCCTTATCTATGGCCACGGTTTTACACAGAACCAGAAGCTATTATTATTTTATGGTACATTTTACCCACTTTTCTCTCCAATGTTGTGATATCCAAATGGTAGTTACAGTCTTGTCCCATCGCTGCAACTCCCTTACGAACTCGGGATCGAACCCGGATCTGTAGTGACGCCTCAAGCACTGCAGTGCCTTAGACCGCTGCACCACAGACCGCTGCACCACAGACCGTTGCGCCACAGACCGTTGCGCCACTCGCGAGGCCAACCAGAAGCAAGCTAGAAGGAATTTCAAAACCAGACTACCTTGTTCGTTGTCAAGAGAGATGATGAAACCATGTCATTACGTTAGAGGACGTCCTTTTGAATGAGCCATTTTAGTTTGTATTCTTATATATATTTTACTATCATAGAGGTAGTAAACTGATAATGAAAATGTTGTTTTGTCATTGTTTCACACAGGAAATCAAGTCAGAGAAGGAACACTCCAGAAAAGAGAAACATCCAGACTTGTTACCAGGTGCATCTGGATAAATTCCTCCTCTCCACAGAACTTGGAATTGCCTCGATGATTGACAAATTGGCATCAAGTTGATTTGCTCATAACTTTCCTGTCTCTGTCTGTCTGTCTCTGTCTGTCTGTCTCTGGGTCTGTCTCTGTCTCTGTCTCTGTCTGTCTGTCTCTGTCTGTCTGTCTCTGTGTCTGTCTGGACCATCCCCAGGCGAGGTGGTGTTCTGCAGTGCCAGCACAGTGTTGAAGTACACTCAGGATGACCTGTCACAGCGAGGCGTCTTCGGGGCGCTGCTCTGCACCAACTTTAGAGTGTCCTTTGTCAGCGACGAGGCGCCCGCTGAGGAGATGGTGAGTACCGGCGTCACGTTGAATAACGGACAGTTTGATAGGTCACTTCATCATGGACACTTCAGACTCTTCCTCTGAACCTGACACACTTCAGACTAATGACTCTTCCTCTGAACCTGACACACTTCAGACTAATGACTCTTCCTCTGAACCAGACACACTTCAGACTAATGACTCTTCCTCTGAACCAGACACACTTCAGACTAATGACTCTTCCTCTGAACCTGACACACTTCAGACTAATGACTCTTCCTCTGAACCAGACACACTTTCAGACTAATGCTCTTCCTCTGACCAGACACACTTCAGACTAATGACTCTTCCTCTGACGACACACTTCAACTAATGACTCTTCCTCTGAACCAGACACACTCAGACTAATGGCTCTTCCTCTGAACTCAGACACACTTCAGACTAATGGCTCTTCCTCTGAACCAGAACACTTCAGACTATGGCTCTTCCTCTGAACCAACACACTTCAGAACTCTTCCTCTGAACCTGACACACTTCAGACTAATGCTCTTCCTCTGAACCAGACACACTTCAGACTATGGTCTTCCTCTGAACCAGACACACTTCAGACTAATGACTCTTCCTCTGAACCAGACACACTTCAGACTAATGGCTCTTCCTCTGAACCAACACACTTCAGACTAAATGGCTTTCTCTTGACCTGACACACTTCAGACTAATGCTCTTCCTCTGAACCAGACACACTTCGACGAATGGCTCTTCCTCTGAACCGACCACTTCAGACTAATGGCTCTTCCTCTGAACCTGACACACTTCAGACTAATGGCTCTTCCTCTGAACCAGACACACTTCAGACTAATGGCTCTTCCTCTGCAGACACACTTCAGACTACCTGGCACACTCCTTCCGAACCTGACACAATTCAGACATAAAATGGCTCTCCGTCTGAAACCAGACACCTTCAGACTAATGGCTCTTCCTCTTGAACCAGACCACAACTTCAGACTAATGGGGCTCTTCCTTTGAACCCAGACACACTCAAGGACGAATGGCTCTTTCTCTGAACCAGGACACACTTCAGACTAATGACTCCTCCTTGAACCAGACACACTTCAGGACTAATGACTCTTCCTCTGAACCTGACACACTTCAGACTATGATCTTCCTCTGAACCAGACACACTTCAGACTAATGACTCTTCCTCTGAACCAGACACACTTCGCTAATGACTCTTCTCTGAACCAGACACACTTCAGACTAATGACTCTTCCTCTGAACCTGACACACTCAGACTAATGACTCTTCCTCTGAACCAGACACACTTCAGACTAATGACTCTTCCTCTGAACCGACACACTTCAGACTCTTCCTCTGAACCAGACACACTCAGACTAATGACTCTTCCTCTGAACCTGACACACTTCAGACTCTTCCTTCTGAACCAGACACACTTCAGACTAATGACTCTTCCTCTGAACCTGACACACTTCAGACTCTTCCTCTGAACCAGACACACTTCAGACTAATGACTCTTCCTCATGAACCCTGACACACTTCAGACTAATGACTCTTCCTCTGAACCAGACACACTTAGACTAATGACTCTTCCTGAACCGACTACACTTCAGACTCTTCCTCTGAACCAGGACACACTTCAGACTAATGGCTCTTCCTCTGAACCGACACACTGACAGCACTCTTCCTCTGACCAACACACTTCGACTATTCTCTCTGAACCAGACACACTTCAGACTAATGACTCTTCCTCTGAACCGACACACTTCAGACTAATGACTCTTCCTCTGAACCAGACACACTTCAGACTAATGACTCTTCCTCTGAACCAGACACACTTCAGACTAATGACTCTTCCTCTGAACCAGACACACTTCAGACTAATGACTCTTCCTCTGAACCAGACACACTTCAGACTAATGACTCTTCCTCTGAACCAGACACACTTCAGACTAATGACTCTTCCTCTGAACCAGACACACTTCAGACTAATGCTTTCCTCTGAACCAGACACACTTCAGACTAATGACTCTTCCTCTGAACCAGACACACTTCAGACTAATGACTCTTCCTCTGAACCAGACACACTTCAGACTAATGGCTCTTCCTCTGAACCAGACACACTTCAGATAATGACTCTTCCTCTGAACCAGACACACTTCAGACTAATGACTCTTCTCTGAACCAGACACACTTCAGACTAATGACTCTTCCTCTGAACCAGACACACTTCAGACTAATGACTCTTCCTCTGAACCAGACACACTTCAGACTAATGACTCTTCCTCTGAACCTTCAGACTCTCTTGAACCAGACCATTCAGGACTAATGACTCTTCCTCTGAACCTGACCACACTTCAGACTCTTCCTCTGAACCAGACACACTTCAGACTAATGACTCTTCCTCTGAACCAGACACACTTCAGACTAAGACTCTTCCTCTGAACCGACACACTTCAAGACTTTACAGACTCGATTCCTCCTGAACCAGACACACTTCAGACTAATGACTCTTCCTCTGAACAGACACACTTCAGACTAATGACTCTCCTCTGAACCTGACACACTTCAGACTCTTCTCTGAACCAGACACACTTCAGACTAATGACTCTTCCTCTGAACCTGACACACTTCAGACTAATGACTCTCCTCTGAACCGACACACTTCAGACATGACTTCCTCTGAACCGACACACTTCAGACTAAGACTCTTCCTCTGAACCAGACACACCTTCAGACTAATGGCTCTTCCTCTGAACCAGACACACTTCAGACTAATGACTCTTCCTCTGAACCGACACACTTCAGACTCTTCCTCTGAACCAGACACACTTCAGACTAATGACCTTCTCTACCTGCCTCAGAAACTCTCTTGAAGACACACTTCAGACTCTTCCTCTGAACCAGACACACTTCAGACTAATGGACTCTTCCTCTGAACCGACACACTTCAGACTAATGACTCTTCCTCTGAACCAGACACACTTCAGACTAATGACTCTTCCTCTGAACCATGACACACTTCAGACTCTTCCTCTGAACCAGACACACTTCAGACTAATGACTCTTCCTCTGAACCAGACACACTTCAGACTAATGACTCTTCCTCTGAACCAGACACACTCAGACTAATGACTCTTCCTCTGAAACCCAGACACATTCAGACTAATGGACTCTTCCTCTGAACCAGACACACTTCAGACTAATGACTCTTCCTCTGAACCGAACACAACTTTCAGACTCATGTCCTCTGAACCAGACACACTTCAGACTAATGACTCTTCCTCTGAACCAGACACACTTCAGACTCTTCCTCTGAACCAGACACACTTCAGACTAATGACTCTTCCTCTGAACCAGACACACTTCAGACTAATGACTCTTCCTCTGAACCTGACACACTTCAGACTACTGACCTTCCTCTGACCAGACACACTTCAGACTAATGACTCTTCCTCTGAACCTGACACACTTCAGACTAATGACTCTTCCTCTGAACCGACACACTTCAGACTAATGACTCTTCCTCTGAACCAGACACACTTCAGACTAATGACTCTTCCTCTGAACCAGACACACTTCAGACTAATGACTCTTCCTCTGAACCAGACACACTTCAGACTAATGACTCTTCCTCTGAACCAGACACACTTCAGACTAATGACTCTTCCTCTGAACCAGACACACTTCAGACTCTTCCTCTGAACCAGACACACTTCAGACTCTCCTCTGAACCAGACACACTTCAGACTAATGACTCTTCCTCTGAACCAGGACACACTTCAGACTAATGACTCTTCCTTGAACCTGACACACTTCAGACTCTTCCTCTGAACAGCACACTTCAGACTAATGACTCTTCCTCTGAACCTGACACACTTCAGACTAATCTTTCCTCTGAACCAGACACACTTCAGACTAATGACTCTTCCTCTGAACCAGACACACTTCAGACTCTTCCTCTGAACCAGGACACACTTCAGACTAATGACTCTTCTCTGAACCAGACCACTTCAGAATCTCTTCCTCTGAACCAGACACACTTCAGACTAATGACTCTTCCTCTGAACCTGACACATTCAATTGACTCTTCCTCTGAACCTAGACACACTTCAGACAATGCTTCCTTGAACCAGACACACTTCAGACTAATGACTCTTCCTCTGAACCTGACACACTTCAGACTCTTCCTCTGAACCAGACACACTTCAGACTAATGACTCTTCCTCTGAACCTGACACACTTCAGACTAATGACTCTTCCTCTGAACCAGACACACTTCAGACTAATGACTCTTCCTCTGAACCTGACACACTTCAGACTTCTTCCTCTGAACCAGACACACTTCAGGACTAATGACTTCCTCGAACCTGACACATTAGACTCTTCCTTGAACCAGACACACTTCAGACTAAATGACTCTTCCTCTGAACCAGGACACACTTCAGACTCTTCCTCTGAACCAGACACACTTCAGACTAATGACTCTTCCTCTGAACCTGACACACTTCAGACTCTTTCCTCTGAACCAGACACACTTCAGACTAATGACTCTTCCTCTGAACCTGACACACTTCAGACTAATGGCTCTTCCTCTGAACCAGACACACTTCAGACTAATGACTCTTCCTCTGAACCAGACACACTTCAGACTAATGACTCTTCCTCTGAACCAGACACACTTCAGACTAATGACTCTTCCTCTGAACCAGACACACTTCAGACTAATGACTCTTCCTCTGAACCTGACACACTTCAGACTCTTCCTCTGAACCAGACACACTTCAGACTAATGACTCTTCCTCTGAACCTGACACACTTCAGACTCTTCCTCTGAACCAGACACACTTCAGACTAATGACTCTTCCTCTGAACCAGACACACTTCAGACTAATGACTCTTCCTCTGAACCAGACACACTTCAGACTCTTCCTCTGAACCTGACACACTTCAGACTAATGACTCTTCCTCTGAACCTGACACACTTCAGACGAATGGCTCTTCCTCTGAACCTGACACACTTCAGACTCTTCCTCTGAACCAGACACACTTCAGACTAATGACTCTTCCTCTGAACCTGACACACTTCAGACTAATGGCTCTTCCTCTGAACCAGACACACTTCAGACTAATGACTCTTCCTCTGAACCAGACACACTTCAGACTCTTCCTCTGAACCAGACACACTTCAGACTAATGACTCTTCCTCTGAACCAGACACACTTCAGACTCTTCCTCTGAACCAGACACACTTCAGACAAGACTCTTCCTCTGAACCGACACCTTCAGACTAATATCTTCCTACTGACTAACTTAGACTCTTCCTCTGAACCAGACACACTTCAGACTAATGACTCTTCCTCTGAACCTGACACATTCAGACTAAGCTTCCTCTGAACCAGACACACTTCAGACTCTTCCTCTGAACCAGACACACTTCAGACTAATGACTCTTCCTCTGAACCAGACACACTTCAGACTAATGACTCTTCCTCTGAACCAGACACACTTCAGACTAATGACTCTTCCTCTGAACCTGACACACTTCAGACTCTTCCTCTGAACCAGACACACTTCAGACTAATGACTCTTCCTCTGAACCTGACACACTTCAGACTATCTTCCTCTGAACCAGACACACTTCAGACTAATGACTCTTCCTCTGAACCAGACACACTTCAGACTAATGACTCTTCCTCTGAACCAGACACACTTCAGACTAATACTCTTCCTCTGAACCTAGAACACTTCAGACTAATGACTCTTCCTCTGAACCTGACACATTAGACAGCTCTCTCTGACTGACACATTAGACTCTTCCTCTGAACCAGACACACTTCAGACTAATGCTCTTCCTCTGAACCTGACACACTTCAGACTCTTCCTCTGAACCAGACACACTTCAGACTAATGACTCTCCTCTGAACCAGACACACTTCAGACTCTTCCTCTGAACCAGACACACTTCAGACTAATGACTCTTCCTCTGAACCAGACACACTTCAGACTCTTCCTCTGAACCAGACACACTTCAGACTAATGACTCTTCCTCTGAACCAGACACACTTCAGACTAATGACTCTTCCTCTGAACCTGACACACTTCAGACTCTTCCTCTGAACCAGACACACTTCAGACATCTTTCCTCTGAACCTGACACACTTCAGACTAAGGCTCTTCCTCTGAACCCAGACACACTTCAGGACTTAATGACTCTTCCTCTGAACCCTGACTCACTTCAGACTCTTTCTCTGACATGACCACCATTCAGACTCTTCCTATTGAACCAGACACACTTCAGGACTAATGACTCTTCCTCTGAACCAGACACACTTCAGACTAATGACTCTTCCTCTGAACCAGGACACACTTCAGACTAATGACTCTTTCCTCTGTTAAACCGCAGGACACCACTTCAGACTAATCGAATCCTTCCTCCTGAACCTGGACACACTCAGACTCTTCCTCATGAACCAGACACACTTCAGACTAATGACTCGTCCTTCGAAACCTGACACACTTCAGACTCTTCCTCTGAAACCAGGACACACTTCAGACTAATGACATCTTCCCTCTGAACCAGGACACACTTCAGACTAATGACTCTTCCTCTGAACCAGGACCACACTTCAGACTCTTCCTCGTGAACCTGACACCACTTCAGACTAATGACTCTTCCTCTGAACCTGACACACTTCAGACTAATGACTCTTCCTCTGAACCTGACACACTTCAGACTCTTCCTCTGAACCAGACACACTTCAGACTAATGGCTCTTCCTCTGAACCAGACACACTTCAGACTAATGGCTCTTCCTCTGAACCTGACACACTTCAGACTAATGACTCTTCCTCTGAACCAGACACACTTCAGACTAATGACTCTTCCTCTGAACCTGACACACTTCAGACTAATGACTCTTCCTCTGAACCAGACACACTTCAGACGAATGGCTCTTCCTCTGAACCAGACACACTTCAGACTAATGACTCTTCCTCTGAACCAGACACACTTCAGACTAATGACTCTTCCTCTGAACCAGACACACTTCAGACTCTTCCTCTGAACCAGACACACTTCAGACGAATGGCTCTTCCTCTGAACCAGACACTCTCAGAGGGTGATGTTGAATGAGGAAGTACCCAGATGAGAGTGAGCACACACACTTTCTTTATTACAGAAGCCATTTGGGGAACTGAGTATGTGACTCAGGAGTAGTGTTTGTTTTGATTAGAGCTCAGGCAGCTGCTGCTGTTTATCCTGTTCCCAAATGTGTCTGAATGGCTGAATATATTATAATAATGTTCTTCCTTACGTAGGGCCAGCTCTTCAAGAATAAACTCTACGGTGAAAATGACATCCCTCTTTCGTGTGTGGATAACATCTATGGAGGTACATCTTACTGAAATATTGTTTTATTCAACTTTTGAATATTTCCTAGTTTCCTTCCAGTCGTACTCAGTGTTTACTAGTCATTTTAAAGTCTTGAGATGAATAGATTGTTTTGCCTTTTGAAAGAATATCACTGGAGTCTTGATCATTTTGTGACGTCTGTCTTCAGGTTATGAAGACAAGAAGAAGCTGTTAACAGGAGGTCTGATGAAGAACAAGTATCCGTCTAAGATCATCATCCACTGCAAAGACTTACGGGTGTTTCAGTTTTCTCTGACCTTCTCTAAAGAGGAAGATGCCAAAAAGGTGCAGCTACCGGCTTCCAAAAATCCCAAATGTATTCTATCTTGTTGATTGATTGATTGATTGATTGATTGGAAACATGCTTCGTCTCCCCTTGATAGATCTTCCAAGGGATTATCCACCACTGTCTGGAGCCGAAGTCCCTGAGATGCCTCTTTGCTTTTTCCTACTGCGAGAACACCTCGTATCCAGGTAGGTGTAGTTACTGTAGAGAACACCTCGTATCCAGGTAGGCGTAGTTACTGTAGAGAACACCTCGTATCCAGGTAGGTGTAGTTACTGTATAGAACACCTCGTATCCAGGTAGCCGTAGTTACTGTAGAGAACGCCTCGTATCCAGGTAGGCGTAGTTACTGTAGAGAACACCTCGTATCCAGGTAGGTGTAGTTACTGTAGAGAACACCTCGTATCCAGGTAGGCGTAGTTACTGTAGAGAACGCCTCATATCCAGGTAGCCGTAGTTACTGTAGAGAACGCCTCGTATCCAGGTAGGTGTAGTTACTGTAGAGAACGCCTCGTATCCAGGTAGGTGTAGTTACTGTAGAGAACATCTCGTATCCAGGTAGGCATAGTTACTGTAGAGAACGCCTCGTATCCAGGTAGGTGTAGTTACTGTAGAGAACACCTCGTATCCAGGTAGGTGTAGTTACTGTAGAGAACACCTCGTATCCAGGTAGGCGTAGTTACTGTAGAGAACACCTCGTATCCAGGTAGGTGTAGTTACTGTAGAGAACACCTCGTATCCAGGTAGGTGTAGTTACTGTAGAGAACGCCTCGTATCCAGGTAGGTGTAGTTACTGTAGAGAACACCTCGTATCCAGGTAGGTGTAGTTACTGTAGAGAACACCTCGTATCCAGGTAGGCGTAGTTACTGTAGAGAACACCTCGTATCCAGGTAGGTGTAGTTACTGTAGAGAACACCTCGTATCCAGGTAGGTGTAGTTACTGTAGAGAACACCTCATATCCAGGTAGGTGTAGTTACTGTAGAGAACACCTCGTATCCAGGTAGGTGTAGTTACTGTAGAGAACATCTCGTATCCAGGTAGGTGTAGTTACTGTAGAGAACATCTCGTATCCAGGTAGGTGTAGTTACTGTAGAGAACACCTCGTATCCAGGTAGGCGTAGTGAATGACACAAGATCACAAGTCCTGATGTGTCACCGCTAAAATCTAATGTAACAGGTGTCTCTGGGTAATATTACATTACATTTTTAGTCATTTAGCAGACGCTGTTATCCAGAGCGACTTACAGTTAGTGAGTGCACACATGAACTCACAACAGGACTACTAGGCCCAAGTCTCCCTACACAGAGCTGCTTGTCAACACGCCATCACAGAGGGATAGCCTTGTCAACACGCCATCACAGAGGGATAGCCTTGTCAACAACGCTCATACAGAGGGATAGCTTGTAAACGCCATCCAGAGGATAGCCTGTCAACGCCATCACCGAGGGATAGCCTTGTCAACTCATCAACAGAGGGATAGCCTTGTCAACCCGCCATCACAAGGGTAGCCTTGTCAACACCCATCACAGAGGGATAGCCTTGTCAACACGCCATCACAGAGGGATAGCCTTGTCAACACGCCATCACAGAGGGATAGCCTTGTCAACACGCCATCACAGAGGGATAGCCTTGTCAACACGCCATCACAGAGGGATAGCCTTGTCAACACACCATCACAGAGGGATAGCCTTGTCAACACGCCATCACAGAGGGATAGCCTTGTCAACACGCCATCACAGAGGGATAGCCTTGTCAACACACCATCACAGAGGGATAGCCTTGTCAACACACCATCACAGAGGGATAGCCTTGTCAACACACCATCACTAATATTTCTGCATATTTTCTGCGAGGAGAAGAAGGCTGAAGTAAAGAGAGAAGCCCCAAAACACATTCTAGAATGTGGTTTTGTTACCAATGGTTACCCATGACTGTGTTCCAGCCCCAACGGTTACAGAGCTGTTAGTGAGGTGAACGATCCCTGCAGTGTGGCCCCGCTGTCACGTCCCCTGTCACCGTCAGGCAGGACTCTATAGGGCCCTTTGTCTGTCTGAGACGGCACTGAGCCCAAGAGATGTCAGCTGCGACATTCCTCAAAGCTCCTCTGTCACGGTCTCTCCTCTCTCTTCCTTGTGGTCGTGGACTGGTAAGGCTGATTCTGTCCCACAACGCTGTTCAGTATGGGGTTATGTTCCGGTCTCTCTCTGTCTCCTCTCATTGCTCGCCGCATGTTCACAGAGCGGTGACTTGTATTGAGTCAGTGTGACAGACAGACAGACAGACAGACTGGGCTTCTATTAACTCTGAGATCTGCTAGCCTGCATACCCCAGACCGGGCTTCTATTAACTCTGAGATCTGCTAGCCTGCATACCCCAGACCGGCTTCTAGTAACCTGAGATCTGCTAGCCTGCATACCCTATACTGGGCTTCTATTACTCTGAGATCTGCTAGCCTGCATACCCCATACTTGGGCTTCTATTAACTCTGAGATCTGCTAGCCTGCATACCCCAGACCGGGCTTCTATTAACTCTGAGATCTGCTAGCCTGCATACCCCAGACAGGGCTTCTATTAACTCTGAGATCTGCTAGCCTGCATACCCCAGACCGGGCTTCTATTAACTCTGAGATCTGCTACCTGCATACCTAGACTGGGCTTTATTAACTCTGAGATCTGTAGCCTGCATACCCACAGACTGGGCTCTATTAACCTGAGATCTGTAGCCTGCATACCCGACCGGGCTTATTAACTCTGAAATCTGCTAGCCTGCATACCCCAGACGGGTCTCTATTAATCTGAGATTGCTAGCTGCATACCCCAGACGGGTTCTATTAACTCTGAGATCTGTAGCCTGTACCCAGACCGGGCTTCTATTAACTCTGAGATCTGCTAGCCTGCATACCCAGACTGGGCTTCTATTAATCTGAGATCTGCTAGCCTGCATACCCAGCAGGGCTTCTATTAACTCTGAGATGTGCGCCTGCATACCCCAGACAGGGCTTCTATAACTTGAGTTGCTAGCTGCATACCAGCTGGGCTTCTATTAACTCTGGAGATCAGCTAGCCTGCCATACCCGGGGACTGGGCTTCTATTAATCTGAGATCTGCTAGCTGCATACCAGAGGGCTTTATTAACTCTGAGATCACTAGCCTGCATACCCCAGATGGGTTCTATTAATCTGAGATCAGAGCTGCATACCCTAGAACTGGGTTCTACTTAAACCCTGAGATCTGTAGCTGCATACCCAGACTGGCTCTATTAACTCTGAGATCTGCTAGCCTGCATACCCCAGACCGGGCTTCTATAAACTCTGAATTGCTAGCCTGCATACCCCAGACTGGGCTTCTTTAACTCGAGATTGCTAGCCTGCATACCCCAGACACGGGCTTTATTAACTCTGAGATCTGCTAGCCTGCATACCCCAGACCGGGCTTCTATTAACTCTGAGATCTGCAGCTGCATACCCCAGACTGGGCTTCTATTAACTCTGAGATCTGCTAGCCTGCATACCCCAGACCGGGCTTCTATTAACTCTGAGATCTGCTAGCCTGCATACCCCAGACCGGGCTTCTATTAACTCTGAGATCTGCTAGCCTGCATACCCCAGACCGGGCTTCTATTAACTCTGAGATCTGCTAGCCTGCATACCCCAGACTGGGCTTCTATTAACTCTGAGATATGCTAGCCTGCATACCCCAGATCTGTTTGTGCTTTCTTACCACCGCCATGACTGTCATTATCACCAAACTGTTACAGAATGTCAATGTACAGGGCGGCGAGTGGAGCATCTCAGTGCTATAGACGTCACTACAGACCCGGGTTCGATGCCGGGCTGTATCACAACCGGCCGTGATCGGGAGTCCCATAGGGCGGAGCACAATTGGCCCAGAGTCGTTTGGGTTAGGGGAGGGTTTGGCCGAGGGGGCTTTACTTGGCTCATCGCGCTCTAGCGACTCCTTGTGGCGGGCCGGGCACCTGCAGGCTAACCTCTGTCGTCAGGGGAACGGTGTTTCCTCCGATAGATTGGTGCGGCTGGCTTCCAGGTTAAGCAGGCGGGTGTTAAGAAGGGTGGTTTGGCGGGTCATGTTTCGGAGGACGCATGACTCGACCTTCGCCTCTCCCGAGCCCGTTGGGGAGTTGCAGCGATGAGACAAGATCGAAAAAGAGGGTAACATTTTAAATAAAATATATATAATGTCAATGTATTCAAATCTATTTCAGAATGTTGACCACAAACCCATGAAGATGACAAATACAGATGCATACACAGATCTGTAGAGAGCCATTGAGAGAACGTCTGCTAAATGACGTAAATGTAAATGTAAGTAACACTGCCTTGTGTTTTCCCAGAGATGCAGAGGAAAAAGCAGACGGTGATGTTTGACTCTGTGGAGGACTGGACTCAGGACATGAAGAGAACTAAAGGAAACTGCAGACTGGTCTCAGAGAACCGCAGCTTTGAGCTCTCTCCAAAGTACTGCCATTACATTTTTTTTAAACATCCGACCAAATGCCACACGTAATATAACTGCTGGAACATGCTAGTTGTATATCAAGACATCGCATCAACATGATCAACATGTTGTTGGTTGAAGTACTCTGTAGTTGTATCCTTGATTCACCTGTTTCCTGTTTTATCATGATTTGAAGTTAACAAAAAGCTTTTTCCTGCAGGCTGCCTCAGTTTTTTATTGTCCCAGCAAACGTCTCGGACGAGGACTTGACTAAGTACCAGGGAAAGGGATTACCGGTATGTGTCGATTTTTTTTTTGTATGCCGTTTTGTGTCTGGTACTTGAAAAATTGAATATCTCACATTTAATTACAGTGCTGTGAAAAAGTATTTGCCCCCTTTCTAATTTTCTCCACTTTTGCATATTTGTGATACTGAATGTTATCAGATCTTCAACCAAAACCTAATATTAGATAAAGGGAACATAAGTGAACAAATAACACAATAATTACATTTTTATTTCATTTATTTCATTTATTTCATAAACAAAGTTATGCAACACCCAATTCCCCTGTGTGAAAAAGTAATTGCCCCCTTACACTCAATAACTGGTTGTGCCACCTTTAGCTGCAATGACTCCAACCAAATGCTTCCTGTAGTTGTTGATCAGTCTCTCACGTCGCTGTGGAGGAATTTTGGCCCACTCTTCCATGCAGAACTGCTTTAACTCAGTGACGTGTGGGTTTTCAAGCATGAACCGCTCGTTTCAAGTCCTGCCACAACATCTCAATTGGGATTAGGTCTGGACTTTGACTAGGCCACTCCAAAACATTATATTTGTTGCTTTTCAGCCATTCTGATGTAGACATGCATGTGTGTTTTGGATCAGTGTCTTGCTGCATGACCCAGCTGCGCTTCAGCTTCAGCTCACAGACGGATGGTCTGACATTCTGCTGTAGAATTCTCTGATACAGAGCAGAATTCATGGTTCCTTCTATTAAGGCAAGTCGTCCAGGTCCTGAGGCAGCAAAGCATCCCCAAACCATCACACCACCACCACCATGCTTGAACAAGATCAAAATGCCTGGCGAAAACCAAACTCTGCATTCCACAGTAAGAACATCATACCAAAGGTCAAGCGTGGTGGTGGTGGTGTGATGGTTTGAGATGTTGTGGCAGGACTTGAAACGAGCGGTTCATGCTTGAAAACCCACACGTCAATGAGTTAAAGCAGTTCTGCATGGAAGAGTGGGCCAAAATTCCTCCACAGCGACGTGAGAGACTGATCAACAACTACAGGAAGCATTTGGTTGGAGTCATTGCAGCTAAAGGTGGCACAACCAGTTATTGAGTGTAAGGGGGCAATTACTTTTTCACACAGGGGAATTGGGTGTTGCATAACTTTGTTTATGAAATAAATGAAATAAATATGTAATTGTTGTGTTATTTGTTCACTTATGTTCCCTTTATCTAATATTAGGTTTTGGTTGAAGATCTGATAACATTCAGTATCACAAATATGCAAAAGTAGAGAAAATTAGAAAGGGGGCAAATACTTTTTCCACAGCACTGTATATGGCCATAACTCTTCACTTGCTGTATGGTCAGTATACAAATGAATGAATGTATTTGATCCCGTCTGTTTCAGATGTGGTGCTGGTCTCATCATAGTGGCTGT